CTCAATACTATAAACATTTACAACCCGTGTTGGTAACAACAGGGCTTACATGACTTGCATATTTTTCTCCTTAAATTTAATTTCAGTTACAATGCAGATGCTATTAGCTCACAATACATGATAAAATTTGAAGGGAATTTGATTCTAAAGTCAATTCAAAAGGCACCCACTGTACCTACATACAGAAATATGCTATGGAGAAGGGCAATTTTACTTACAAGTCAGCTTTCTTATTCCTTCCAAAACTATGTACTAAAGGATACAACAATCCAAGTACTATTCTGAAATGACCACATCACTCAAGCATTTTCATCCATCTCCTGCTAGAGGAGCTTCTTACTAAGAGAAGAAACAATGCAAAACAAACAAACAAAAAACAACCACCTTCAGTATGCCTAAAACAGCCCATTTGTCAATGAATATTAAAGCACTCTATGCTGAACTGTTAATCTCATTTTCAGAAATAAAAGAAATACAACAAGAAATGTTTTTCCGGAACAGCTGCACCTATAACTAGTGCATCCCCAGTTGTGTCTTTCAGGATTCGCATCCCTTCACACCTGCATTACTCGTTATTTCACTCAAGTATTTGTTGGATAAAGATGGCCAGCTCCCGGCCAGGCTGCAGACAGCCATTCCCTTCCAAAATGAGCCACACCAACGAAAAAGATAACCCTCACAGATTGTTCACAAGCATTTCTGCCAGGGATCATCACTCCTACTAGTTGATATGCCAAAAAAACACATCCTGCCGAACTTTTTTTTCCAGTCAAAATTATTTGTGCTAGCAAGGATTAGTAATAATACTGCTTAATATAACAGAGCTCCTTTCAGTTGAAATGCATTAGTCAAAATGGGTTAGACTGAAGCGTGCCCTCACAGATGCACATCAGTTGAAATATCCACGCATCACGCATCTCACGAAAGTTGACAGCAAGCAGCAGTATGGGACTATTTCCCAACTCTGAGGAAAATAAACCCTTCACCTGTACCCACGGCACATAACTCACTGGACTGCCAGTTTGTTCCAGCCCCACAAAGAGCACAGTGGGTTTGGAGCAAAAACGTATTTGGTAGGAAAAAAAATATTACTATGTCCTCTCATTTCATTCTCTGTCATCACCTACTCATATCTACTCTCCCCTACTTCTAATTTCTCCTTGACTTTGTCTTCATATTAGTTCCTCGCATCAATTTACCAATCTTCGGCAGCAGTCTTCATTCGATGCCCAAATGAAAAACAAAGCACATAAATCCACATTTCTGGCATTTTGTTTCAAGTCATCTTCACATGCACGAACACAAATCCACACTGATTTATATTGCAAAGATAGCCATCCAGAATCTTCAGAAATATTTTAAAGTAATATTTTGAGTGTAGAGAACACAAGTACACCAAGTGACACAAAGTATGCATCACATTCGCTAGCGCTGTTCCACAACCACTTAAAGCCACGTGGATTGAACCCCAGAATGGAGGGCTCACACAACAGCGTGGCCAGCCCTGGTATAGTGGGTCTCCTTAAGCACGTGAAAACTATACCTTCCTCTGCCACCTTTCAAGAAAAGACTCTGGCAGTGGCACATAGCAACTTAATATGACAGTGCAGCCACAGCCCGAGAGTGGTATGTTTGTTTTATACAGATTAAACTACAAATGAATGTATGATTGCTAAATGAGACATGTTATCCGAGTACCAGTGCCATTATGAACTTCCAGCTCTGTAGGATGATATTGAAAGCAAGAACAAAAATCTAACAAGCCCAGTCCCAATCTCAATAATTTCCTCGCTGTGTTCCCAAACAGCAGAACCTCCCAAATAGCAGCAATGACAATTAAAGAAATTAATTCGCTTTCATTTTACTAATCAGCAGCACAGGACTGTTTTGCCAACAGATTTTTTAAAGGCACTACACTTCATCACATTCCAGATTTTGGATGCTGTTTGGCAATCACGTGGACTTAAAAAAATGTTTTGTAGAAAAAAAAATATTTTACAAAGGTCTGTGGAATTTCTCTATCTCAAATAATGCTGAAAGTGTCTTTTGAACTGATTATGTATTTTTCATCCTAAAAAATGAAATCAAGGGTAGAGGTACCTGACAAGATCAGCCATTGCCTGCCAGGAGCCTGCTATCCTCTTAGATATCTCAGATGTTAGACATCATGTTCAGATTGGTCCTGAATAAATACACAGAATGTACTCCTACACTACTGCACAGCAGAACTCATTTACATAACTTTTCGTAAGATTTTTTGCAGTTAACATAAAATTGAGCTTTTTGTATTGAAGTACACGAGGCACGCACACCTGAATGTAACATCTCAGTTGGAAGAACAGAAGAACACAAGTTTAGGCTGAGAAGCTGATAACATTCTCCTAAAACCATCTGAACAGGGATACAAGTTCTCACAAGATCATGCCCTTCCTTTTAGTGTCATAATAAAGAGAAACCTAAAATGAAAAATACCTTAAAATACCTATGCCCTTTTGTTGACACCAAGGAAAAACTTTGCTGCTGAGAGTAAGTCACACTTTTCTATCATCTGATTTACCCAGACAAGTTTGGGGTTTTTTTTTCCTTTTTTCTTTTCTTTTTCTTGTCTACTATCAGAGTTGCAAAAAAACAGACGTGTTTTCCCAGGTCTGTGCACAACTAAATGCCTTTAGTTGTTCACAGCACTCCCAGAAGCAGTGAAGAACATGACTACTTCAACCCTACCTTTCAGAACTGAAAACTGGAGCTGCATTAGGTCCAGAAGAAGCCATTAACTAACAAACAAGAATTGTAGAACTAAAAAAATACTAAGAAAACACAAGCTTCACTATTGTGTAAAAGAGAAAAAGTGCTGATTACACCGTACCTTTTAAACAAGTCAGACACCTGCTGGAATCGCCAAAACAGACTTCTGTCCTAGCTAATGAAGACCAGAATACGGCTAAACTGCGTAACAGCTGGACACAGTTTTTAATGCTGACATATTTGCCAACCATAACCCCCCAAAAAGCTTGTTTCATGATCTCATTCTCCTCCTCTCTCAACTACTTTAGTTCTACATCCCTTCCCAGCCCCAGCCCAACCTCTAACCAAATCCTTACTCCATTAGAAGACAGCTGGATGTGCTTCTGGCTGCTTCCAAATGGAAAGTGGCTCTTGTATGGGAGCGCACGTGGCACAGAGGACTGAAGTAGCAGTGGAAACACCATGCTGCACTAAAGTAACATCCTCCACTGCAGTACATACACTTAAATGCCAACTCCCTCATAACTCACTGATTTTCTGAAGTCCTAAAACCAATTAAAAAAAATATATAATTAACAGCTGGATGATCAACTGGCTAACTCCTAAACAAAAATTGTTTCACAAAAAAGGACTGTAAGAAATGCTATAATTAAAACATATAGCCCCAAAGGATGCTCTCCAAGCATCCTTTATTATTTTCTACGCCCCCCTTCAAAACTACCTCATACGCTAGAGCCATACTTTTTTCAAAACATTAAAAGTAATTAAAAAAAACCAACATGATAAATCAAAAATATACGTTCTTCAAATGTAAATAAAATACTATTTCATAATGTATGTCTAGTTGTCATATTTTGATCATTTACTTAACATGGTGGCACCTAAAAATGTGACTCATACCATTCCCAGTGCATTACTGTGAAACAAAATGAAGAAAAAAAAAAAAAAAACCGAAAAAAAAAAAAAACAACCAAACCCATTATCTATCTCCACCCAAAGAACAACTTTTCCTGCAGGTAATATGGAACAAAAACATGAAAAACTGGATATTCTCTCTTACTAAAACATTATGAACTTAAGTCTAAGACTGAGTAGCTACCAAAGTGACCTCCTTATCAGGCCTATGGAAGACACATATCTGAGCGAACTGTAAGGCAATATAACAGAAATTTCAGCCTATTTCCATACACCATTGCTTTTTCTCCTAAGCCTCCCTCCTCCAAAACCTCCACAGGATTTCAAGAATAACCGTACAGATGCAGTACTAACGGCCTGGTCATGGCCATAAGCGTGACGGGTCTAACACGCATTTCCCACAAACACCCCTCAAGAGCTTTAAGAAAGCCCCGAGAGGGAGTCGGGGACCCTTCTGCCGCCACGGCAGCTCCTCCAGGCTCCGGATCCCAGGGAGAGGCCTGCGGAGGAAGGAGAACATGTGGCACGGAGGCAGCCGCTCACTTCGCCTTCTGGCGGAGGAGGAAGGCTTCATTCAAACTCCGAGGCCAGCGCCGAGCAGCACCCAGGCCGCAGGCAGCACGTTCCGCAGCGGCCCCCACCGCCGGCCGCAGCTTTCACCAAGCCCCGGCCGCCGCCTCCCGCCCCAGCCCGCTCGCGGCTCCCCGGGCCCCGCGTTCCCCCCGGAGGCCGCCCTCACGCGGAGTGCCCCCGGCCCTCCCCTCACAGCCGCCGCCCCGCACGACGAGCCGCGGCACCCGGCGAGAGGGACCCCGAGGTGCCCCCGGCGGGCCAGGGAGGCGCTCGGCTCCTGCCCCCTCGGTGACGGGGCTCGGGCCCCGCAACCTCCGTCCCCGGCCCCGAGCTCTCGGCGGCCGCCCGGACCGCGGCCCTCCCCCGGCCACATGGCGGTGCCGGCACTCACCCCGCTCGCGGCCCGCGTCGCCCCGCGCTCCTTAGCGCCTCGCCGCCATGTTAGAGCTGGTGCGGCACGGACTGCGTCAGTGGAAGGAGAGGGCGGGAGGGGACGACCCCGGGGGCGGCGCGGCGGAGCGGGGCGCGGAAGCAGGAGAGGTGGCGGCCGAGCCTCCCGGGGCTGGGAGAGGCGCGGGGTGCGCAGGTACCGGCCGCGCGGAGCAATCCCCGGTGGCGGGGACCGCTCGGAAGGAGCCCGAGCGGTTGGGGGAAGGGGCGCCCGCCCCCTCCAGCTCGTCAGCGGCGCTCCGCCCGCCGCCTCCACTCCCCTCAGCCGGGCCGGGCCTGGCGGGAAGGAGCGCAGGCCGTGAGGGGCGGGCGGCGCGCCGGCACCGGCTGCGGCCTTCCCCTCTGGACGCAGCTGGAGCGGCGGTTCGGCCAACGGCCCTGGAAACGGCCGGGATTTGGGACAGTACAGAGCTCCAAACGCCCCCGGGAGCCCCTGCAGCAGTGCCTGGCGCGTGGAGCGAGGGGCTGTTAAAACTAAAAAGGAAATTATCGCGTAGAAAAATGTCCCTGATCTTAACCTGTGTGTTTATGCTGCCGTTCAAGCCGTGACAGTCTGCAATAGAAACAGAAGCTTTCTTGCTCTGTACGTACGGAGTTTGTGAGTACGGGGTTTGTAGTCGTGTGTAATGGGAAGGGAGGATGCAAGTCCTGTGGTAAGATGCTGAGTAGCCTGTTGAAAGCAGGAATATACTCTTCTCCTTCCAAATTTCTAACAAAAATTAATAATATCATTTTTAAAAAGATAAACCAAACACAAAGGAGAGATAGACTTGTGAGTCAGGAAGTCCTGAAGTAAGTAGAGTACTACATGGTGAATCAACACCAGCTTCAATAGGCTTTGGTACAAGGCTTTCTTCCTCTAAATGCCCTGCTTAAAGTGTAAAAAAATTTATCTAGCCTCTTCAATTTGCTTTAGACATTCTTAATTGATTAAATAATTGATTTCATCCAAATGCACTTGGCAAGTCAAAAGTAACAAATTCAGCATCTTTTAAAAGGAAAGTCCATATGATTTGCAGAAGTCACCTCCTTGCGGATAAGATGTACTTTTAAAGGGCAGATCAGATTTCCTAGAGTTAAGTGAGTTTGCACAAGGGTAAGTGCTGCCCTGAGATCCCCACAGGGCTCAGGTCCTCCCTGTCACTTACGTGTGTATGTGTCTCTGCAGTCTGCCACCCAAGCCATCTGCATTTTACTATTTTACTAGTTTGAGGGAGTTCCACATTTGTAAGCATCCAATATTTGAGGTGTAACAGCAGAGGAGACAAAACCAAAGCTGCAAAACAGCCAATCAATCACCAGATAATACTGGCTGTGATTTCAGATAGAATGATAGCAGCCTGAGGCCATGCCATAGAAAGTTTGAAGGATAAGTGAGCACTGTGAGCTTGGCATTGCCATTGCCTCAAATCAGTTGATGCTGACTAACCACATCAGCAGATATTGGATGGTATTTGTTATTTTCACTGGTGGTAGAGAAGATACAGAGAGATTTGGAGCTGTTTGTATGCAAATATAAATCACATACATGTCACAATATGTTAGATTTGTGTTCCAGAACTTGACGTTTGATCTATGTCCCAAAACTTGTAATTTAAAACTTATCTTTTTTTGCGAAGTATAAGAAAATACAGCTTACAAATACGGTAATGTGAATTAATCATAATGTTTCATTATGTATAATGTTTCTGCATAGGGCTGCAACAAGTCGGGAGGAAATTCTTTCCTCAGAGGACGGTGAGGCCCTGGCACAGCTGCCCAGAGGAGCTGTGGGTGCCCCATCCCTGGGGTGCTCAAGGCCAGGTTGGATGGGGCCCTGGGCAGCCTGCAGCAGGGCTTGGGACTGGGTGGGCTGCAAGGTCCCTTACAATCCCAGCCATTCTGTGATTGATCTGTATGTTCAGTACAGCGAATCCAAATACCAGAGTTTCACTCTTGAACATCAGACCGATGTGGGGTTTTTGGACAGAGATGATGTTCCCCCCCTCAAAGTACATTATATAAAAATGGTACTGATGTGACCTTGGAACTTTATGAATATCCATTTACTTTGCTTGGAAGGTCTGACCCTTCTCCCCGCTCCTGGTGTTTCCCGACAGGGATGAGCGGAGCGCAGGGGCTCCATGTGAGCGAGGGGTACCGTCTGTGGCTTCGCAAAAATGCCAATTGAGGCCTTCTCAAACGATGCTCTGCGGATGTAAGGATGCCTTACAAGTTGCAGACAAGGCTGGTTCTTCCATTTCCTTACTAAATCACGTTTTTCTCTGAGTTCGGCACCCCGCCGTTCCACCGGCGCTCCCTTACCGTAGGCCGCGGGGCCGCCCCAGGTCCCCTGCACCGCCCCGGCCGCTCGGCTCGGCGGGCCGCCCTTCGGAGCCGCCACCTCCCCGCCCTCCGCTCGGCCCCCCTGCACCGCCCCTGCAGCTCTTCGGCGGCGGCAGCGGGCCGCTGGGGGCGGCCTTTCCTCGGGTCCCGGGTAGAGGGAGGCGCCGCGGGACTCAGGCCGATGCTGGGAGTCGGGCTCGGAGCTTCCCGCTGCCCCCCTTCCCCTTACACGCGGCCGCGGCCGAGGGAGCGCTGGGCTGCGGCTGCGCGGGGCCGCTCTTCGTGCTACCGCACGATCGGCGTGTGTCCCAGTCTTCCTCGGTGAGCGGAGGGTTTCTGGGCTTTCTGTGGTTTGTGATGCAGTTTTGAGAATGCTTATTGAATTTCCACCGATATGAAATATCTTCTTGTGCTTTTAGTTTATATTCTGCACAGTAAATGGAAGACAGAAGTGGTTGTTGAGCGAGGTATACATTTCCCGGTTTGAATCTGTGTGTTTCTAATTTTCAAAACACTTGGCATTTTTCTTCGGTTTCTTTTTATAAGACGTTAAAATAAGTTACAGCTTAAGATCGTGTAGATTTGTGACAAATCCCTTGCATCTGCTGAATGCTTTCCAGAAAGAGTGCTGGGAACCGGCCTGCAGGTTGTTCTGCATTGCTGTCCCTGCTCCCAGCTGCTAGCACAGAGGAAGAAGACCATTCACTCATTCTGACAGCTCTGTATTGTAGCCTCTGTTTAAAAGCCATTGGTACAGCCACTGATGATTGCTGCTTTTGGCTATCATCACTGGGCATGTTTGGTTCCGTGCATATGCATCTATGCCGCATTTGTTAATAACTTGAGAAATGTGGAGGATTGGCAGTCTTGTAACAGTTGCCAGCTTAGGACTTAAGATTTTATTGAAGATTGCTCAGTTGTGATTTAACAGTGACTTGATCGTCCTTTGGTCTGTGTTTCACTTTGTTTAATCCACTTTATGAAATCTTGTAAGGGGTCCTCCCTCCTTCTGACAGCGTGTATCTGTGTCATTAGATGGAAAGATCAAACTTCTTATGGACACTGCATGGAATAAATAGCACCATATAAATTTTCCCGGATAAATCTGTTTGTAAGCACAAGGAATGAAGCAGGCAGAAGCAATGAAAGCACTAAAAGAGGGAGTATAAAGCAAATTCATTACTAAAAATTACTGTGTAATAGCTGGAAAAATGTGTACCTTTTTGCATGCTTTCATTTTGCACAGGGAAGAAAGTCATGTTATGAGGCATCATAAGTTAAAATTGTTTGGAGCTCAGGAGCTTGTGCTCACTCACTTCCTTTTACCACTAACAGTTGCATTTCCTTTGAGCCCCCTGTTGGCATCATGGAGCAGCTTCCGTATGAAGGCAAGTCTCAGTGACCTGTGCTCTCCTTGCACATGAAAAAGCCCATCTTTGCCTTCTCAGTATAAGCATGGCAGCAGGTGCATTTTTGGGGTAGCTTTTTAAATATGGAAGTATTTTTTACATTTATTTAGAAAGTTATTACCAGAGGTAATAACTTTTCTTAACACTTCTGGGTGTTTTGATATTCTTTGTTCACTCTCAGAAGAATTCAAAGCATGGATTTTTTTTTTAAGCTTACATTAACTACTACATTAAAAGGCAGATACATCAATTTTTAGCTAGGATTTATGACTGTGTCTAACTGCTTTAATTCTGTCTCACTACAGGTACCTCAGAACTGAGTTACCAGTATAGTGACCATACAGGATGAAAAGAAAAGAAGTGCCCATTTTTCAGATGCCAAAGTATGTTCTGTGAAACAGTATTTTGCTGTGAAAAATGAAAGAATCTTTCTAGACACTGTTAAAGGTAGCTGATGGACTTAGAAAAATGCTTTGTTTGAGGCAAGTTTGCTTGTCTGCACTGAGACATTACCAAGCCCGAACTCTGAGCAACGATCTGCTTCTGAGCCAGATAAATAACTGTACCCATGAAGATGAAGTGTTCAGCCTTGTTGGCAAGAACAAGGCCAGGCTTTCTGAAAAGCATGTGGGAATTGCATTGAATGTGTTATGGCAGTTGCAGAAGAAGAAGCCACTTCTCTCAAGGACTTCTGACTATGTAAGAAATCACTCCCAGTTTCTAACTCTTTGCTTTTTAGCAGAAAACAAAGTAGAACACATGGATAATGAGGCAATAGTGGACGCTCTGTATAGTATACTGAGGTAAGCAGTATTATGTTGATATCCACATCTATACATTGTGCATCTGGTAATAAGAAGAGGGTGTTTTTGGAGTAACAGCTCAGCTGTAAGGAAATCTAACTTCCTGTGCCAGATCTGAGTTTTGTACTCCTGATAAATAGAATTATGATTATGAATGCATAAATGTTTATGATGTGTTTTTGGGTACATTTGTTTGATTGGAAGGAGCAATAGAAATGTAAAGCATGATAAATAATGGGAAGATATTTTTCTCTTTGATGTATTTCTTTTATTCTCTTAAGCAATCTTTCAAACTGCTGTGACATTTTTGACTTTTCTGAAGGCTCAGTGTGGAAAGCCATGATTCCTTGGCAGGAGCGCTCGTTACAGAGGCGTGGAAAAGATTGGAAAGGCAAGTACTGAACTAGTATGCTTTGTGAAAAGTGTAAGTTGTAGCTGTGGTTTGCTTCACACAGGGCTACCCTGGCTTCTCAAAGAGTATTAACTTCTGGATTGCGTAGGGTTTCATACACAAAATACGCTTCCTTATAAAATACCTGAGCATTTTGTCTGAGTTCAGGATATCACCGTGTCACAGGAAATGTGTAAATATTTTGTTCCCGTTTTGTAATTTGAATGTTACTTACAATTTATACAGTTGTTGAATTAGATTTTTGCCTTCAGTTATTTACCTTTTATTTCTAGTGAATATTCTGTCTTTGTTTGATGTCTTCACAGCCTTAGTTTACCAGCTTTGTCTAAATTTGCACTGTGTTTACACAAGCAGCGCAGACATTTTAGTCCCCTAACTGGCAAAATAGCACATCTTGTGGACACAAAACTGGATTACGTACAGGATATAAGGTAAGTGTCAAAGAGAAACTGAGTAGTGTGGGAAACAATGTGTCACAATTACTGTTTTGGTGAGGGTTTTTTTGGGTTTTTTTTTCGGTTAAACATTTTCAGTTTTTTTTCAATTGAAGGTTAATTCAGTTTGGGGTTTGTGGAAAAGATGTGATTTGTGCATTGGTTCTCACGAGAAAGTTTACTCAGGTTAAAACAATATCCCAATTATTTTTTGAAGAATTTATTTGTGACCAATCTAAGTGCCTAACTAAAACTAATGTTTCACTTAAAGTGGAATAAAAGATATTCCTTCAATCTGATTCTAAATTTCTTCTGAACTTTTCTGAGAGTATACAGGTCATTTCACCAGATGTCTGTTTTCCTTGAGGTTAGTAATTTCTCTGTTATGACATGATGAATAGTGATGAGGAATCTTAAAACAAATCTATTTTTATTTATCTTCAGAGCATTTTTTGTCAAGGTGAATCAATCAGTTCTTTTGGTAATGTGTCTGTTACATTATCCTGATGCTAAAATTGAGTTGAATCATAGAATCACAAAGGTTGGAAAAGACCTCTAAGACCATCCAGTCCAACCATCCACCTACCACCAATATTTCCCCACTAGAACCATGTCTCTTAGTACAAAAGAGGAACGGTACGCAAAAAAAGTCCAAGCTTATTTTTCTTGCCTCTCTTCTCCCTGGGCAGTTACAGCAAATGCTGCTCTTTTTTCCCCCTGCCTTTTCCAGCACCATCAGTCTCCATTTATTTATTTATTTTTGGACACACAGAGCCAGCATATGAAATTAATTGAATGAGTGAGACCGTATTTCTTTACAGAACTGACTCTTGTTTGTCCTGTTATCCTGTTAGGAAGGGATTTTTTTCTTTAGGATTGATGGTGACTCTTCTCCCTGTTCTGTCTTCTGGCAATTGTTTGGGTTTCTTTAATTTTTCACCGAAGATTAAAGATCTTTTTGCAAATTTAAATGAGACATCACAGGAGTTTGCCTTAGTCAAGCGGTTTTACACAAACAACTTTGTAGGAGTTGAAAAATCCCAATCATTTCAGTAATTCTCTAAAAGCACAATTTTTAAGTTATTTGAACAAATGCTTTTTGCTGAGCTATTTTTTGTAGATTAGATTCTGAACTCCTCGTGGCGCCGAAGCCAGCAACATCCTAACTAACATTCCTTTATTTGGCTAGTTTATTTGAGAAGTCTAAAATGTGTTGCTTAACTGTGTTCAATGTATAAGCTTAAAGTCTTTTGAATTTTTTAGGATCTTGTCAGTTTTGATGATCAGTGTATCTGGTGTCATCTCACGGAGTTTTCAGGACCGATTACTACAGAAGGTGGAACAACTATTGGGAGAAGAAGTCCATTTCAACTATGCCAAAAGAATTGTACAGTTTCTTCAACTTAGTAAACTGGCATATCCTTCTTTGCTAGAAAAATGCAACAAGGTTTTCTTAAAAAGCACCTCTCATCTTGATTTAGACAATATTAGTCTTATTTTTGGACTGTATGAGCAGCTGGGTTTTGACAGTGCGGAGTTCCGCCTCATTGCTAAACAGCTGCTGTCTGAATCAATAGATGATTACCATGATCCTGAATCTTTTGCAAAATTATTTTTTGTTCTTGGGCCTATGGCTGGGTCCAAGGTAAGAGAAAGGTAAGATTCTTAACAGGCATTATTTTTACGTAGTCTTTCATGGAAATTGAAAATCTGTTGGTGTTTTGGGGAATTTCTGAGCATATCTATGACATCTGATGATTAAGTTTTCTATTCCTAACTTTATAGCAATGAACTGTTTCATTACAGAAAGCAATTTGTTTTGAAACAGTTGTGTAGGAAGTTGTATCTAGTAACTAAGGTGCATGGGAATACTGTTACTCAAGACCATCTTGTTGCTCTGTCTCCTATTATTTCCTTGCACTGTGGGTAGTGGTAACAAACTTTTTGCCTTTTTCCTGAGAAATATATGCAATAGTGTGTATTACATTTTTTCCTTTTAAGATCTACAGTAGCTGAAACTACAAGATTGGAGTCTTGTCCTATCCCAGTGTGGTGTACAAAATCACAGAATTGTAGAGGTTGGAAGGGATCCCTAAGGTCATTGAGCCCAAACCCCAGATCATGAGTCCAGCCCCTAAGCCCACCATATCCAGTATGAAAGGGTGGCAGCAGGGAATCCTCCAGCATTAATGTAGGGATTGGAGCCCTGAATTACATTGCAGATCTTGGTCTGCCTGCATTTTTGTGCCACAAAATCCTGGTATTGTTCATGGCTCTCTCGGAGCCTTAGGCAGAATTTATTGTATTAGTTATGATTAGCAATGTTTTCAGAACTTCAGTAGCATTTCCTGCTCTTCAAATCTCTGGGTATTCTTTACCATAACTTACACAATAAATTATTTTCCTTACAATAAGTTTAGCCAGTTTAACTGGCCAAAACCTTTTCCTAGATCTTTTTGTCGTTTTCATGAAAGTGAAAATGAGGCAGCACAAGTTATTAGCCTTATTTGCCCCAGAATCGGTTCAATTCATATTTGATTTTGCGATTTGTCGCTTGCTGGTTGGTGGTGAATTTTTATTTTTGACTACTTTCAGAAGTGTTGGAATCAGTATTCTGATTTAATACATTTGCATCTTTGTGTGTGCCATACTGTTCAGAAGAATGGTTCACAACATAGAACTGTCTAGTTGGGGAGAATCTGTTTTGCTGTATTTCGTGAGGTAGTCTGTTGTTCTTTCCCTCTTTCAGACAAAGAATATTGTTACAATCTTTGCTGTGACTTTTCAGCAGTTTTTCTTTGGAAAATAAATTATTTCTTCTCATTAGGTTGCTAACAACTGCAGCACTCATTGCAGAAGGATTTAGCAGTCATCAAGCATTAGTGATACTGAAGACAATGCTGAAAATGAAATGTAGACATTCTCACCTGCTTGAAAAGTAATTTTTTAAAGACTACAAAGTAATTGTGTTCTATAGTTATAGATGAATGTATTAAGAAAAAATATGTGGTATACTTTGGGAGTGGGGTCTGTGTCGCATACAAACACATGCAGTCCGTGCATGTTACCTGTTACAGACTTCAGAATATTACAGGTTGACTCTGAAGTGATTGAGTAATTCAGGAATTTCACAGAAGGGCATTTCATTTCTAGCAAATTAGTGGAATATAGCTTTTAGCTTTTTTACTATTATGTGATCTCTTTTGCGTGAACTTAGCCTCTGAGAATCACTGTAAACTGCTGAGACAAATGAGAATATAGTAAGTTGCAGAGAGTAAACCCTGTCTAGCTGTCCTGTTACTAATGTGAGTTGTTTCTTCAAAAGTTATTGTGCCCTAACTTGAACTACTAAGTCTTTAAGAACTCAAGTCAGATTCTCTGCAATTGTAAACTGAACAACAAAACTGAGGTGGAGAAGAGTGCAGATGTATATAATCGTCTATTTAGTTACTGTGCAATATGGGGAAGCCCTTCTTCATTTGAGGTGTTGTGTTCTGCAGTATCTTTTGCATTAGCATAGTACCATATCATCTTTTTCTGTTTGTATTCAGAATGGTTTCTGTTCTGCATAGACACTTGGATGGCTATCACGTATTGCAGTTGGTAAAGTTAACACAGTGCTTGGTGTTGTTGCATTGCCATGATCAGGAGTTGTTTGCCAAGCTGAAAATGTTGTTATTTGGGTAAGTGTTTGTTTTTGAGAATTCGTTTTCTTATTTAATTGAAGTATTACACAGTGGTCTAGTTAATATGTTAAATGACAGGCTAAAATGTTTTCCTCAAATATGATAAAGTAACAAGCTATTACAATGATTTAATTTGATTAAATACATAAATCGAAGAATATGAAATGGGTTTTATCTTGGCTGTAGATCTAGTAGTATCTACTAATAAAAGTGATACCTTTTAAAACACTATTTTTCCCCCTCCACTGACTACTGCAACACAGAGACATTGAATAGGAAATTCTGGCTGATATGATGTAGGTAGGGCATGTATTAATCTCTTTCTTTGATACTTGAAGATACTTGAAGCAGTCAATGAAAAGTAACTAACGATGTCATGGTTGGAACAAGTGAAAGTATAAAGCAGAAATACTATTTTACAGAACAAAGAACTTTCTAGTTAGTTCTCATTGTTGTGAAGAGATCTGCCACCACTGCTTTCACTTTTTGTGGAAATTATCCTTGACCTAGGAACCTACAAACTCAGTTAACAAAGGGCAGAACTTCCTTAGTAAGTGCTTCTGTGCTCTCAGTAACACTTCAAGCCTCACCAGCTAAGATGCTCACTGTCATCTTCCTCTTTTTGATGTGAATGTTAGAAGGAAGAAATTAATGTTGAAATGAAAAAAAACCCACTTAAATAGTCACTGTCTGTGTGAATTTTGTGCCCCTGATTTTGTGTTTCTTTCATTCTTGAAACAATGTACTACTATTGCCTTTTCAAATAGAACTTAGGTGCAACCCTGCCTGTGGCAGGGGCTTTGGAACTCGATGATTCTTGAGGTCCCTTCCAGCCCAGGCCATTCTATGGTTTTATGAGTTCATTTGCTGTCTAAAAAAAAAAAGAAAAAAGAAAAAAAAAAAAAAAAGCAAATGTTTGCACTCTGTTGATATCAATGGTCTGTTTTTCTTTTTGTCTCTTTTCAGTTTTCTAAAATCTAGTGTCATACCTGCTGATACTGCTGCAATAATTCGCACACTGGCCATGCTTCCATCCTCTCAAGTGGAGGAAATCATTATAAACAAAGCAACAGCAGTTCTACCTCAGTGCAAACTCCAGAACCTCAGTTGCATTGCTACAGCTCTTGTCAAATGGAATCATTATGACGAGTTGCAGTGGCAAAACACTTCTGAGCTACATGCAAAGCTTCTGCAAAAACTGAATGACTGTGGATTTCAGAGACTTCAGGAAGCCAGGAACTTAAATCTCCTGTTGGAAGAATTTACACATGTGAATGGAGAGTGGTTGCAGGAAGTCATCAGTGAGGAGGCTGTGGCTGCATGTCGACGTTTGATAGATCAAGTAACATGGGCAAATGTGTTACAGTTGTCTGTTTTTCTCATAAAAACAAACCATCGCTGTCCTTCATTACTTGACAGAATAGCATCTGTGACTGTTCAAAATATAAACAAGGTATTATAGTTTTTCTTTTGATCTACTGTATAAGTTCTTCATTTAGAAAAGGACAGGTTAGTAGCAAATAGGATAGAATTCAAGCCTGGAAATCTAGACTTTTATGATTTTACCTAATTGTTTGTTTCTCTTGAATTTTGATTAAACATACAACTTTTTTTTTAAGTGAGTTTACACAATTCATCTTTTCAGCTCACTTGCAGCAGTTTTACATACAGCAGTTTTTTATTGGTGGAATGAAATTGCAATTACGCAGATTTGGGCTTGGCCACTGCTTTGGGAGTAGATGTTTAAATTACTGTGGCTGTCTCATCCTTTTCCATGATGCACACAGCTTATAATGGCTCTTCTGTTGGACCAGAAGTCATTCTAGCTCGGAATCCAGGCTTTGACAAACGTGAGAATATTTGGTTTTGTAGCAAAGACAAATGAAGGTTTTGAGATGATCTCCCTGGAACAACCATGCACAGATGCTGAGATTTTCCAGGATGAAGATAATGTTCTTTAATAGCTGTTTTTGGATCTGTCCTATGCTTTTTTTTCTGGCATTTTTAGAGATTTTGAATCTCCTTATTTTTCAAGCTTTCAAAAAAGCAATGCACTGTTAGTGGTTTTATTTATTTATTTATTTTTTAAATAATGTAAGAATGATTGTTTAAACACATTTCCTTTCATTCCTTAAAACTGTTTCCTGAAATTTTCACTACATGTCAATTTATATTAAGAACTGTGTTCAGCATCTCCATGGATATGTGCTAAAAACGGTTTGGTGTGGCTCTGCACAGAAAGGTGCATTCCTAGAACTTTTTCTTGTTCTGCATCCTTCTTGAGTTGGCAGACTTGAATAGCGCAGTGCTAGGAGCACTGAGCACTTCTCCTGGGCATCGATTAATGTTTTTCAGAGAAAAATTCACAGTGCCTCAAAGAATTTTTTCACTCTAACTCTTTCAGCACTTGTCTTTCTCTTTGTCCACTTAAAGCTGTTTTATTTCCACATGTTACTTTGCACTTTCTTCTCTTTTTTCTCTTTTCCTTTCTTACGTTCCTGTTCAGTCAGCATTAGGTCAACTGTAATCCTTTGTGCTCAGGTTTTCATTTGATCATATTAAACGTTCCTTTTACCTCTTTACAGTATAGTCACATCGCATGGCATGGCATATTTTTTGTTAACCATTCTTGTGTGGATCTCCTCGATAATCTGTGTTTTGGGTCACAGTCACTGTTTCTCAATGTGTTGCCCTCTTTCCTCTCCCTCCCTCCCCCAAATTAGGAACTGATGTAAAAGACATTCTGTTTTGTCTTGCGACAGTGTAGTTTACAAAACAAGCAAAAAGAAACCATTGGATGGGAAAACTTTTAAAAATCTTAAAGTCTAAGCACAGAGTAACACTTGGATCATCTTCATCTTACAGCTTTTGATTTTTAGCCATAGTTGCAATTTTAATGACTTGTGCATTTTATTATTTTTATGTTTTTGTCTCCCCTAAAAAGTACTTCATCATTAGGTTTCCATATTCTAAATAAATTTATAAAATCCTTTTTACTACAAAACAATTTTAGAATACTTTTCAACAGCTCAACTTAGGATCTGTTTTTTCCCCAGATCCACCCACTGGAAATGTATTTCATTCTCTATCTTTTCTCTGTTCTGAACTATGATCCTCCTGCCAATGAAGAGTTCTTTCAGAGTTGTATCCAACATCTGACTTCTAACTTGAGTAAGTATATTAGAGGAACATGGGCTGAGTGCCGCTGAAACATTTTGTTTGTACTTGACAAAACTGTGTGTGTGATGGCATTTTTTAAGCCAAGTGAAAAAACGTGTCTGTGTGCTCTGTGAAATTAAAAGTTGTAGGGAAAAATGTGTAGATCTAATTGTGGAGTTAGCTTTTTTTTTTTTTTTTTTAATGTTAAGATAGACTTGGGAAGCAGAAAAGCATTACAAAAGTCCTTTCAATGCCCTGTAGTGTTAATATGGATTTCTGTTTCATTTCTAAAGGTTGTTTTGAAACTCATCACTTGGTGCTGCTGGGTTACATTTTGGCAGTGGCTGGGTATTTTCCTCCAGCTCTCATAAAGACAGTATTTGATGTTTCTTTCCTAAGCAGATTGGATGCTCAGCTTGAAGGTAAATATCTAGCTCTGATGAATTGAGTTATGTGACATTTGGTATAAAATGGAATTGTGGTCGTGTGTAAATTGAGAAGTAGACTGTACATCATTTGGTCTTCTGGAAAGACTGCTCTGTATGAACTAGTTAGTATTTGAATGCTAAAAGGGAAGGAATAAACAAAATCTTATGTTAGAAGTGCTGGCATATATTACAGATGATGTTGCCAGATAAGACAAGTTCACTCTAAAAAAAATTATAGTCAGTTTATTGTACCTGGTATATTTAATTTTAATGGAAATAAAATTACCTGAATATAGTATTATTATAAGAAATTGTTGCAGTCCAAAGCTCAAGAAATAATGTGGAATTCTGGTCTGCAAAAAATGTGCGTCACCGGACTCTACTTCCAAAATAAGAGATTGAACGCTTGTTTGACTGTTCCTTGTCGTTGTTTGCTACTGATGTGCTGTTGCCCTTTTGCCATCAAAAGATAAATGCTGAGAATTTAAATCACTGCTTTCTTTTGTCATGCTATTGCTCTTAATATTGAGCAATTTTTTTTTATTTTTTTTTCTGTAGGGGATTCAGTGAAGCCTTCTAAAATTGTGTAGCATGAATTTTATAAGTGCCATAGTATAAGGCTACTGTATTTTTTGTAAATGATTCAGAAGTATCCATCTACTTGATTATAATGGGTTTTTCACTTTACAGTTCACACTTTTTTCTATGTTGTTTAATTTAGTCCTGTCTGATACCTTGAGGCAGAGGGTCCGCTCACGGCTTATGAAACTGAACAGAGCAGTCTGTCTGGAATGTCCGGAGTTTCACATCCCTTGGTTTCATGAGCACTATTTCCAGCGTGTCTCGTGTAAAGGTAAATCGTTGAGGAGAGCTGCCCTTGTTATTGTAATAGTCTGTTTTCAGCAGTCTGCTAGGCACTTGTTCTAAAACTGCTGGGCTGACACTAGCACACAGTAGAAGCCCAAAAAGGCCATTATACACTGAAACCATGTTCTTCGAAAGTGTGAACACTTATTAGGTGTAAAACAGCAAGGCAATTCTTCCCAGGAGAACGGATATACTGGAGAGGAGGTATTTACATGTAAGAAATATGATCTAAACAAAATACAGCTGGTGTGTATGACATGGAGGATGGTGTAATAATTGAGGTCATCGAGATTGTCTACTGGAGGAGATGTTGTATTTTCAGAATGGAACACTTTGATGACTTAGCCATTAGGAAGCTAAACTGCTGTCATCTTCAAAAGAGTTAAGGTTCATCAAGGATGTGAGATGGAGCAGTCAGGTGTTCAGCCTCATAGATGTAGCAGCTGAGAACTTTCAGAACAACAGTGATCTCAGGAAGTCTAGCTGATGCAAACAGAATGTCTCCTCCGTTAATTCTTATGGTATTAATTCTGCTTTGCTATCTGTCAGACTAATCTGCTTTCTAATCTGTGAGAATGAAGATGTTTAATGGAGCAAGGTATTAAGCAATCTGCAACATGTGGAGAAATAACAGCAGACTATACCTGCAATGGATGCAAAATTATTAAATACTTATTTAACAGTCTAATCATAATTTTAAAAAAATTCAATTGATTAAACTTGCAACCAAAGTGCTTGTGGGAAAACAGGGATGGAAATTCTGGATTTGCAGTTTGTGCTTAGTAGGTACCGGTCACTTTCTACCCAAAAGATGATGATGTGACCTCTGAATTGTGATGGAATAATACCGAGGATCACTGCTTTAATTCAGTAGGCTGGCTATCAAAAGTGCAATGTCACAAGGTACTGAAGTTTCAGAACTTCAGCTGTTGTGTATTTTGACTAATTAATTCTTTATTTTGTCTTCGTAGGCATTAGCCGAATAAATCCACTGCGACAGCATGTTCACAGAATGCTGGCAGAGATCTTAGGAGGGAGCCATTATGCAAGAGTATCTGTTCTCACACCATACTACTATGAAATAGGTGAGAAGTTCCACTTTCAAGGATTGTTTTGGAGACTGCTGATAGCACAATTATCACCAAGGCTGGCAAGCCCCTGGGGCTGTCTATTTGCAGGCCACAAGATACCACAAATAAGAAATACCTGTTTTGGCAGTTTGTGTAGAATACACTTTCTAACAGTTTTGCATAATTCAGGTACAAATGTTGGATACCTCTAATGATGGTTGTCACTTAGTTTTGTCTAGAAGCAAACACTATGCTGAACAAATTATTTTCCCTTTTTCTGTCTTTTTTCATCTGTTATGTTTTCTCACAGATTTTGAATGCATTCTGGATAAAAATAAAAAGCCTCTTTCTTACATGGCTCAGGATATACTTCTGGATAATTTGAGGGGAATACACTTGAGACGTGACATCAAGGATGAAGAGAGAAAGGCATTACCACAAGGGGCTCAGAGGTTAGTACATGGAATTCTTACACTCTTCAAGCTTTAGATGAAATTTAGACCAAATTTTTTTGTTTTTTATGTCCTAAATAGTGGATGGTACACTTGGGCTATTTATTTTTCTGTTCCTTTTTCTAGAAACTTTATTAGATTTAGCCTTTCTGTGTGTAGTGGTTAGACCCTAGCGAGCAGCTAAGCTTCCATCAACAGAATCTGGAGGGAAAAAAGAGAGGGGAAAAAGAAATATCTCTTAGGTTGAGATACAGACAGTTTGATTAGTGAAGAAGGTTTGTTTGTTTGTTTGTTAAATAAAAGAAAAATGAAGTGATGGAGATGCAACCACTTATCACCAGCAGACCAAGTGCAGCCAGCTTCCAGACAATGACTAATTTGGAAAAAAAAGCCCAGTTTATTGAGGAGCATGATGTTACACGGTATGGAATAGTGCTTTGGCCAGTTGAGGTCAGCTGTCTCAGCTGGTCCCTTCCTAACCTCTTGCCAAACCCAGTCTACATTCTGTGGGGGCAGAGTGAGACACAGAAGGTCTTGATTGCTGTGTAAGCAGCATGTAGGAACAGACAAAACACAGGTATGTTATCAATGCTCTTTTGGTTACCCATCTAAAACGTAGCACCGTGTTAGATGTTACAAAGAAAATTAAATCCACCTCAACCAAATTCAGTACAATAGAGCAGATAGAGATTCTTGAAATATGTATTTTATTACACTGGAATACTCTGACCTCTTCTAATGCAATCCTTGAAAATGCTGGTTGCTGCTTTTGCCATTTGAATAGAGCAGAAGAAAGAAGTGCTCTTCCTAAAGTTCAAGTATCTCCAAATAAATGTAAGAAAAACATTTTGTCTACTTTCAGGGAGTTGTTTAACTTTGTTCTGCTATGAACTGTTAGATTTATCTAGCAGAAGTCTTCCTGCAACTGTCAATGCTGAGCTAGAAATTTTACTTTATCTGAAAGTAAATAAATTTTTCTGTTGGTTTGTTTGCAGAATTGCTTTGGAATTTCTCGATTCGAAAGCTTTTAGTAAAGATTCACGCCACCTGAAAGGAGAACCTGCCTTGAAAAAACGACACCTGGAAATTCTGGGGTATCGGGTCATTCAGGTGAGTAGCCAACAATATTTTATGTCTTCTGTTGAGTTGTGTTGATAGTGCAGATTGATGGATTTTCCTTCCAACAGCTTTAAAGACAGTTTTCATCTGATAGCTAAAAGCACCTACTGAGTGAGAGCAATTTTTGAATTTTGAGGAGTAATTTCTAGCAATTTGTAGACTTAGTAGAACTTAACATCTCTGACAGCAGCTGCAGAAAAACTGGAGTCGAGAAGTCTTAGTGTTACCTCAGTGCAGGCAAACTAGCAATCTGAACATAGCCTGAGTAAATGAGAAAATATGAAACAAGAGTTTCAGTTCAATTCAGCAAAGATTTTCATATGAGAAAAAATTGAATGCACACTCATTGCTCACTCAGAGCCAGTTATGGCAGCTTAAAGAGGGTGGTGGAGGCTGGCTGGTTGTGGAGTGACAGTACTGTGACTGCAAAGCTAGTGACCAGTGTAAATTCCCACTCAGGAGCACAGACATATTAGGGGGCTCGTGATGAATACTGATTCTCCCGTATAGATATATCAATACTTACATCACCTACTCTGATTTTAACTGGGAGTCTTCTATAAGCTTAAGCTTTTTTTTAATTTGGGTTTTGTTTTTTTGTTTGTTTGTTTTTTTATCCCAGAAAAAATAAACATCTTTTCTTGTGTTGCCCTGAGATTAAATGTTGGGCTACTGACACACCATTTCAGTTTGATACTTCAGCACTGCAAACTGTTGACCTTGGGTTTTTCTCTCTTAATGGGTTTCAAAATACCTCAAGTGAAAGATGGGGTAATGGAGTTGTCATAGCCTGTATTGTATGGGTATCTGCTTTTCATCTCTGCAACTACTACTTTGTGGAAGCAAACTGACAGAAGGGCATGTGTGATAAAATATTTTAATGTGGAGAACAGTAGATCCTTTCTGTGCTGTAAGACTGTGACTTGTGTCAGGCAACATTAGCACTAAGTTTGTGTGACTTCGTTCTACAGATTCCTCACTTTGAATGGAATTCTATGGTTCTGTCCACAAAACCTAAGCAGCTTGAGTATCTGAGAAAACGTCTGTATGAAGCTCAGTGATACCAAAGATGTAATTACAAGTAAATTTTTTTAATATACTTTGTATAACGTTAAACTTCTTGTAACCCAGGAATACATGCCAAAATTTCTCTGTGAGTTAGCTGGACTAAGTCTTGCCATAGGGCAGTGGCTGTCATGAGACTGGATCCTACATTTGTTAGGGGTTGTAAAAGACTGGTCACAATATGCTACGAAGATATGATTGAGATGCATAAAAGCTCCCATTTCTGGAAGCTATTAAGTATATGGGTCCGTGACAGTTTTGCCATACAACTGCATTATTACCTACTGAGATTTGACCAGATATTAAACTGTCCAAAGAAAGAGTTGGAAATACTGACTACGGAAGAGGAGGTAGCAAATAGAGTGGAAACTATGTCTGTCCTCCAGCATGTGACAAAATGAGCAATAGGGATCAAACACAGTCTCTCTGTACTGTGAAACTAACAAAGTGAAATGTAGATTTACTAAGAATAGGACTGCTATTACAGCCATTCTGTTTTCATCTTCTAGAGCACAGAGAATGTGGGTGACAATGTCAGGGGAGGGTGTGGTGCAGTGAGGAACCTCCAGCTGCTTGCTTTTTCTACCCTGTGATACAGCATATACAAAAGAAGGCTTGAATCCTTTGGAATGCCTTCACAAACCTGAAAGGTAAAGTAGCTCCAGAGGTCTGGCAGTCACCCATTAACACCTGCAGTCCAGTTCAACTTGGAAGGGATAACTGAGGGATGAGGAGGAAGTACTGTTTGTGTCAGACACAAGTACCTATCAGTGACTGGATAATTTGTGAAAATGTTTGTAATTATCAGTTGGACCACTCCTTTCTAATAGTAATAAAACAAAATTAATCTATATAAGCTGCCCGTCCTGTAAATAAGAGTGCACAAAAAAGCAAAATAAGGCAGAAAACTGAAACCAGAAATTGAGACTAAGAAAAGTCTTCAGAGAGTCATAAATACTACCTTGATTACCAGTGGTGAAATTGCTTTATTTGTGGTGTTTCAAAACTATCAGCCAGTTACATTACCAGCTCCCTATGATCACGTAGAACTGGGGTTTGGTTGAGAGCTAGAAGATACTGGAACGTGGAAGGAAAAAGTGGAATAGCCAAGAGAACGTTAATTGCAAAGTAATAAACTGTAGGGTGGTTATACTATTGCAGATCAGCCTATTTTCAGAAGCAGCCATGTTTGGCTATAGTTCCTACTAACTCACAATGACTGCAAGTTATGCCCCTGTTTCACATATACAACACACCTGCATTTCTTGTCTTTTTAGAGAAGCAATAGACATTCTTTTTACTATGTGCTTTGAAGCTTGGGCGAAGCAAGCATCTACATTTCTGAATTGACCATTGTGCACCTTGCTTTTTTTTTTTGGTTCAAAAACCTTGGTAAGAAGAGTATATTTTTTATTGTCTGAATCCAAATGAATGCAGTGATGAAAAGCCAGGAAAAATAGAACTGACCAAAGCTGCACTGTTCTGCTGAGGCAATCCTCCTATGTGGAATGACTGAGAGCACCACTAGATGCTTGTCTGCTTATGGTGATGGTGCTTCTGATCAAACTGACAAGGGCTGAAAAGGGCTGTCGTAGAAGAGTGCTTTGGGGAAGTGCCACTGAATGCATAGTATATAGAAGGTCTGTATGCACATGATATTTTGTGTAAAATGGAGAAGATAATTATAGAAGTTAGGATAGTAGAAGGTGACCTCCAAGTCAGAGTGCTGTTCTGTGACCTTGCTTCTGTACAGGAGGGCATTGTGTAGCAGCTGGAGAATGTAAACGTGACAGTGGCTGTAGCTGAAGTGATCATGCAGGGATGGCCATGGGCTTGAGATGGACTTTGCAGTTCAGGTAGATTCAAGTTATGTATGGATAAAGTTATGAGTACTCACAATGTGGAGAGGATTAAAAGAGACTAAAAGTGGATTCAGAAAGTGTATCTATACAAAATATAAGACACCATCATGTGATATTTTAACAGCATTAAAAACGAAGTTTAATCATTACTAGTTACGAGTTTAAACATTAAAATGCATCAATTATTTCTTAGGTAGGTGCTTACTCGTGCAGTTGTTCTAGCATTTTTCAATGAATGCTTGTTCATGGCCTCAGATCTCTGAGAAAACTTACCATTAAATATTTGCTTTGGAAATAAATACAAAAGCATAAAAAAAAATGGAAATCCTTGTCATGAGAAACCAAAACATAATAGGCAAAGCTATTACCCCTATAAAATTCTCTTTTTTCCTCACAGCTGCCTACTCTGGCTAAGTGCTTCTGTTTTCAATATGCACTTCAATTCCAGGCTAAATTATTTTTTAGAAGGCTCCACTGAAAATATTTTCAAAATGACTAAAGAATGCAGGAGTTGCTTACACTGTTGAAGGGAGAAATCAGGCTGTACAAACAGCTGGTTAGAATAAAATCAGCACCTAGTAGTTGTATTTAACTTAATCCATTCATTTTTGAGCACTGTTTTCAGATCAACAGATTCAGATTTCTGGACTGAGAGTAAGGATATTTAACCAGTTCTATTTTCCATGGAGTAGAAGTCTTCATTTATTCTAATCAACATTAATTAGAATTCTTCAGGATTTTAAAGGTTAGCAAAAATTCGCTTCTTATTGATTAGCTGGTAAATACCTTAAGACTTGGATAGACAGATGAACTGTTTAACAGTTAACAGTATAACTAGTATGCTGCTACATAACTCTGAACAATCTGGAGACGTTTTCATGCAACAAATTCAGAAGAGCCTATGAAAACTCCTGCATCATATCAAATTTTTCAGCATTTTGTTTACAGCTTCGACAGCTTGAAGAGATTTAAACGTGTAGCCAAGCAGGAAGCTCCAGTCGCATATCGGATCTCTTTCAGTATGCCAATCCATTCCTTCTTTTCATCATCATACCTGCATTTAAGAAAATAAGGTCAAAATGTAGCTTTGTCTAAGAAAAGGAGAATAATCCACAGGTTCCAAAGGCTTGTAGCAACCTTGTGCTGAGCATTGCTATGAAAAGCTGCTTTTGTTCTCTAGAACTGAAGAGAAAGACATTCTTGTCGAGGTGGGTTGACTTTTTCCTGAACCCTAAATTTCACTGTGGCCTGTTTCAAACTTCACTTCTCCTATAGAAGTCTCCCACTCCTGCAGATCCCTTCTGAATTTTTTTTCAAGTTTTACATATGGAAGTGGTTTTTATGGGCATTCTGTCTATGGTTTTGCCATTTAATACTCTTCAGTCTACCACAGTAATGGAAGAGTCACGGTAGAGACACAATGTTTCATCACTTCTACTGTGACATAAATAAGTCTACAAGACTTCTGACTTTTCTCAGAACAATTACTCATCTGGCTTATTAATACGTATGTACAAACCTTTCTGTACACGTAGACTTTATTGCATAAAAATGTCATAAACCAGAATGTTTTTATGGCACACCTAAAAGGCTAACCCTGCCAACACAGACAGCCACTTACTCTTTTACCACGTCACAGAATTGTTTAGTTGGAATGGACCCTTAAAGGCCACCTAGCCCAACTCTTCTCCAGTGAATAGGGACACCTACAGCTGCTGAGAGCTCCATCCAGCATGACCTTGAAGATCTGTAAAGATGGGGCTTCCACATATCTGGGCCACCTGTTACAATGCCCTTGCCACCATTATTGTTAAAAAAACTTCTAATGTCCAATCTAAATGTCTGTCTCCTCTCTCTCTTTTCTTTTTTTTTTTTTGGCTGCTCTCAGGTCTCCTCAGACTTCTCCAGGCTGAACATTAGTAGATTGAAATAGTCATTATATCCAAATCTTGCATGTGTCACTTTCCGACAAACATTTTTATTTGTTAGCAAGTCTTTCCAATCTGTGTTACAGTTCATTTCTGAAGGTAAATGTACTATTACTGTTACTCCCTATTGTCTACAAACATCACTGTTCAATAGAGCTTTCTATTAGGAAGTTATGATTAAAGTTAAGCTTACTTCCATATGTCAGTGACTTCACTGGGTGCAAATTCTTTAGATTCGAGCTGAATCATTGCAAAACCTCCAATAGCATACAAAGATCCACTTAAGTTGACTAAACTGATAGAACTTCGCTCCTGGGGAAATTCAGGCACAATCTCCCACCTGAAGATGGATAAAAAGAAAAACATACATGTCAAATACAAGTGAAATTTACTAAATGGTTAGCACCAAAATACAGCTCCGGGTAACATAAATGATGTTTTTGAGGACTGCCTGAATGAAACTGATTAGTAAAAGGAAAAACTGCTGAGATCAGTCATCAGTGAGTTTGTCTCTCCATCCTTGCAGGAACTTCATGCAGGAATGCAAGTCTTGGTACGATGGAATTATATCTATCTCCATCCTGAGAGCAATTCTTACAGGTCTCCTCTTCCCACCATCACTGATAAGCTTTGTGTAGTTGTTATGTCTCTTCCCCTATCGCTCATTTTTCACCCTGTAGTTTCCAAAATGAATTTTCATTTCAAGTGGCAGTAATTTGAGTAATAAGTGAATAAATTAATAGAGCTCATTAAGATAATTTCAAATATTCTTCCAAGTCACAGGTAGGAACATACAAAACATACAGAAATCTCACTTTGAGACAGTGTTAACATCAAAACTAGTGAGCTGATTTGCTTCTTACGCTTATGTGATTTGTCTATAACAGAACAGTAAATGAGGACAATAGCCTGCAGATGTTTTCTGACCACAGGTTGTACCTGTCTCAACAATGGAAGAGTGAGAACGCACCAAACATAATGATAACAAAATTACCTTTACTTTCAGTTGATTTGTATACAATATATAGAGTCCAAAGTTAACTTAAAGAATTACTTGCATAATTCATTTTTCTATTGTCAAATGCTGTTAGTAGGTTTTTTTCGTCTTTTTAAAGTAGGTCTTGAAATTTAGTTTGTGTTGTGAGGTTGATGTATGCAATGCCACACATCACTGTAGATATCACAGCCAACTGTGTTTATTTACTACTTAAGTACTTACATTAATAAGTACATTGAGGACCTCTGAAAAGTTAAAAGGTATCATAATGAAGTTTTGATAATTTTATTCTAATATCAGCTTCTGAACACCTTTGTGACCATCTCAAGATTTTTAATGATGATTTTAGATGCTAAAACACTTGCTTAAAAACAGCTTGAGCATTGTACTCACTTATTTGTGGTCAGATCAAAAGCTTCAACAGATGAAGTAAGGCCTTCTTCAGTGACACCACCGGCAATGAAAATCTTGCCTTTATGGATGGCTGTTCCAAACATTGAGCGAGCCACTTTCATTGGAGCCAGGTCTCTCCAGTCTCCTTTCTTTGGATTGTATACAAATACTCTATTAGTACATTTCCTGGGGAGAAAAAGGAAAACTGTAATCTTTTTAATGAACTTTGGCTTCTTCCAAGTGAGACCTAGTTGAGGCAGTTTGTGCGTGCTTATGTTTTGTGCCTCTCTTCCTCTCCATGAGGTCCTCTCTCATATCCGACCTGGGGATAGACAGGACAGGTCTAAAAAGCACTTGTCACATCATGTTCTACTTAAAATATTCACTTGCTCAAAGAAAATAACCACCACACCCTGAGTAGCAGTAAAAGCATTGTTTTGTTTTGTTTTGTTTTTGTCACACACATTTAGGTATAAAAGGCACTAGAGATGAGGAAAAAAAATACAAAAACAAGAGCTGATAGAGTAGTTCTTTGGTATTTAAGCATTTCTATCTGGAAGGAAATATAAAGAGGATTCTCATAACCGTGATGAAGATGTTTGCTATTTCCCTTGGAAGTAAGTAAAATGGCTAAAACAACTATTTGAGATTACAACTTACATGCAGTTTTACCTTATTGAGAAAAAGCCTGTAGACTATAATGTGCTGCCTTCTGCCAAACTGCTGGTAAATTTAATGTGGAGATGTAAAAGTGGACAGCCTAATTTCTGAGTGGGGACATAAAATCTATAAAGGACCAACCAAATAATGTTCTAAATAATCATGAAAAGACTTATAGACTTACTTATCATCAGTTTTTCCACCGAGACAATATATCAATCCATTGTTTGAGATGGTAGCATGGCCATATACTTTGATGGGTAGTTTTTTGATCTCACCCCATTTCATTGCCCTGGAACAAAGAATACTGCTGTTAGGCTCCTTCAGCTAACAATGGGCTGCATATATGTCCTCTTTGGGCAGAATTAAATTTTAAACATACACAGGGTCATAGCACAATACTGAATCTAGAGACTCCTCATTGCGAAGGTCCTTGCCTGCAATTACATAGATCTTGTCGTCTGACTCTCCCAGCCCGAAGAGGCACCTGGCTGAAGGCAGTGGAGGAAGGGCAACCCACTCTCCAGCAACGCTATCCAGCTGAAACAGCACCACAACAGAAGTGTTATCAGAGGCAAGTAGTAAAAATTCACATGACAAAACTGTTCCACATATCTCACTCGGTATCTCAACAGCTCGGCTGCTCACCTGAACAAGCTATCCCTCCCTTGGTGCAGCTATTGAATGGTAATTTTTACCCACCCATGCATCGTGACACTAGCCCCCAGCAAATGCTACACAGCCCTCTTTGCACCTGCTCACCCTCATTCCTCACAGAGTTTCTTTGCTTTTTTAAGTTCTTCTTTGTTTAAAGTTCCACACTCTGTGTTGGAAAGAATGTTTAATTCTTCCTCTCTGAAGGAAGCAAATGCCTCTGCCATTCCACATCTCCACACTGAGCAGGTTGTGCTAATTACTACAGTGAGAGATGCCAGACATTATTAACAATCTCGAAGCATTATGCAGCAAATGGTACAGATGTTTCTTGTGCAATCCCCAGAGCAAAAGAGGTGTTGTTTCATCACAGATAGCTGCAAAAGTTCCTGAGACATCTTGATAAGCATTTTCACTACTGAAATACTTCTAAGATATATTGAGATGAAAACACCAAAAGAAAAGCCACAGGAGGGAAAATGAAAAGAAAACAAAACAGCAGAACATTATTTTCATAGAACTGGAGTACTTTTTTAATATCTAAGAATATTTTTTAATATTATTTTTAATATCTAAGAATTTAACATTCAACCTGAATGTTCCCTAGCATGTGGTATTTTTTCTTTTCTACTGCATATAGATTTAGTTGATAATGCACAGGCAGGAAAGGCAAAATCTGAGTTGGCATGAGTGTAAGTGCATTTGATGTAAAGTGAGAAAAAGCTCAGTCAAAGCAATCAGATCTGGCTTCAGCTCAGTGACATTCTTTTTCTAGAAGTGTGTTCCACAGTCAATATAAAATGCATCTCCTAGATTTGATGGACCACTCCTATTGAACTAGTTCTACAGCAATGGTGAAGTGTAGTTCAAGGCTGTGTTGCCCCAGGAGCTAGATTCGGGTGAAGAGGTCAAAACATGTAGGTCACAGATGGCAGCCTGCTTTCTGTATCAGTCTTGAAGATAACATCTGCACAGATGATAGAGCAATAAACAATTAGTCCTGCATTTTTGAGCCATTGGCAGCCTGGTTTTGTCCTAGCTTACCAGCTACAAAAACAAATGGTAACAGGTTGTAGTAACAGTAACAGGTGCATTACTAGCAGAGAAAGGATCATTAGGAAGTCAATGTGGTATGGCACCAAATTAACATTTTTCAGGGAGCAGCCAGATGAGTAACGCAGAAAAGTATTTTAACTATATGCAGTAATGGCAATGAGGAACCTGGAAGATGACAAGTGAGGCAGCAGGATTTCAGGCTATTAATTTAGACATATAAAGTAGCATTCTGAACATTTAATCAATTTTTAGTATCGCTCTTGAAGTTTAGTTTTTCAGAGGCCCCTATCTAGTAGCCTCATTATTCAGCTCTGGATTACATACAAAAATACATCAATGTGGTATAGCTATTGGAAGAATATAGCTGCAACAAGTTCTGCACTTCACTGATTAGCATTTTCATAAAGGAACATGAAATAGTGCTAATCCCCCTCTAGCAAAACGACTTTCCTCTCACAGCTATAAGAAATTTTTGGAACCAGCTCTTTCATGGTGTGCGAAATCAGTAACCATAGTGCTATAAACACTCGGTATTTTCATTTTTAGATATCTGAAGGCTTTAGAATCCTATCACTATTGCTCTGTTTTGCTTCATATTGTCAGAGGATCTACTTCTACATTCAGGTCAATGTGCCTAAAAACAGATCATGGCCAGTAGCACGCTGTATAAGATCATTTAAACATTAAAAGACAGCATGTAGACAGATAACTAAATATACAACAGAATTCATTTCCAATGTATGCATGCCAAATTGTTATTTTGCTGCTTTTCTGAAATATGTCATGGAAGTTAGTTTGTATTAACTGGCTTTGAATTTATAAAGATTTATACACATTAAAACTTCGCACTCAGTTGAAACATGGTAGTTAGTATAATGACATTGATAGTTTGCCAGGAGAATAGCCTTCTACCAATAAATTATGTTTTAGAATGCCCTTAGATTTTCAGATCTAAATGTGACAAAAGGACTTGTGAAATTTTAGTGAAAAAGTGACTATTAAAATAAAGATATTAATGTGTCATAAAGATATTTCATACACAAGACAAACATTATATCTATATACAAGTTACTCTTTCTTAAGATCTCACCCTGGGTTTGATCTTGTAATAGAAGATACAAGTCCCTTTGTTTAATTTATCTCTATGAGACAGGAAGAGCTATTGGAACTACTTTCCACTGATCATACAGAGACTTGACAACTCACTTGCACAGATTCTAATAACCTTAATAATAACTCTTATAAAGCACTTACCACACCAATAATTACAAAGCTTATACCTGGAAGAAGTAGGATTGGAAAGGCTGATCTTTGTTCTCCTCTTCCACATACAGTCCTCCAACAACGTAGACCTGATTTTGTTTGGTGACTATACTGGAATGGTTTCTGGGAATCTGTTCTGCCAGGGCTGCCAGATAGCATTCATTTTCGAGAGGATCATAAGCTACCGCAGCAGTGTCATTAACCAGAAGAATTAGGTCTTTGACAAACATGCCGTGCCTGGGAAGGTCATTTAGGTAGCCCGGCAGTAAATCTTCATCTCCCACATCACCATTTACTTCCCCTTTGTTTGACTTTTCTTTATTTGTGCTAGAGTCAGGCAGTTTTCCAGCAAAAGCATCCTTAATAATCTTTACTTTTTTCTGAATATCTGAGTTGCTTTTAATTATATCGTCCTTCTCAACATGTTCTTTGAAATATTTTTCTGGCATAAGACGAAAACGTATGCAGTCAAAAACTTCTCCTAGGCTCTTTACTCTGTTCTCCTTGTCTGACCGAACCCATCTCATTACTGCTTCAAATACCAGTTCTTCCTTCTCTACGTTTAAGCTGTCAGGTGAAATAACTGAGATAAGTTCATTTGGTGCAAGCTGCAGGAAGTCCTCTTCTTTGCAGATCTGCACAAAATGATCTGAGACAAAATCACGGGCAGAAAATGCAAGTCTTGGGCAATCAAGCAAAACACCTAATCGAAGGATAGCCAGACAGTTACCGACAGCAAGCCTCTTCTGAAGATAGGAGACACACACGGTGAATACAGAAGGGATCTGGAAGCGACTGGCCAAGGCAAAAATATCTTGCACGTTAGAATCATTAAGATCAATAGTTGCTGAATAAAGGTATTTGACAATCATATCCAGGATGTTGGGATCTACATTATCTAGAACTACCTCCTTCTTTTTCTCTTCATTTTGCTCAGATAAGAAATACTCACGAAAATAAGGGCTACATGCTGACAGAATCAATCTGTGGCAAGGCAGACTTCTGTCACCAGCTTTTAGGGAGCAATCTACAAATTTTTTCTCTTCCAGGAGTTCTTTGAGGCCATCCTGAAGAAGGGTGGATTGGTAGAGTCTGAGTTCTTCAGTGAGTTCCCTTTGGGAATCCATTTTGCAAATACTTGGGGAAGGGAGGGAGCAGAAAGCTTTAGCTGTTGTCTGCCCAAATGTCTGTCTGTAAAAAAGACAGACCAATGTGCTTTGCCCTGCCTGAAGCCTCTGCAACTTAATCTCAGTAGCTAAATATAGGTACCTAGTCTTACAGGTTGGAATTTAGGATGCATGGTTTGGAAAAAAATAAAGAGTTGTTCTCACAGCTGTCAAAGACTGAAAGAAGCAACTGTTGCTTTTAGTCACTATGGTCAGGTTTTGCCATCACTCTCCATATTTAATCAGAGAGATTACTTGCAATGTAAGAAATTACATGACATGAGCAAGGATGGCAGAATCTGACTCTCAGTAAGACAGCTATGAGCAAGATCATAAACATACACTTTATCAGTATTCCCAAATACAAATATTGCTAATCAACTTGTCAGATGCAATTACTGTTTTCATTGTCAGAAAGCTGCTTAATACATGGCCTTGCTACAGATTTTTAATGAGGTATTAGTCACAGAAATATTAAAAAACTCCTGATATTACTATGTAAATTGTCCCTATTCTAAAATAATTTTTATTACATACCTCACATCAGCATTTTTTAAGACATAGATTTCAAAAAAATGAATTCTGAGCTGCTTCTTAGCACTGATTTGGTTGTATTTATTTAGAAATAAACAATTCTTAAAGAATAAGTTATTCAGGTAAAGTACAGTTTTTAACAATAATTTAAAATTAGGTCTACCTCCCACTTCCAAACAATCATTCTGCATTTCAGATAATCTATAAACATCACCAATCGCTTCACATCTGATTATTTTACAAACCATTAACTGCTGTAAAACTAAACTGAAAACAGTACCTAGTAAGGAAAACAGACAAGAAAAAAAAAACAAACGTAATACAGCACACGTATATTAAATAGATCTTAACAAAAACAAATTTTTAAATCTCAATTTAAGGTAAAATATCCAAATTAATCAAGTAGTTTAAGAACCATGAACTTAGAAAAATTATGCATATGGTGAAAATTCGAAGTGTAGACTGGGAGCATATATATTGGTAATACAAAGGAAATTTGAAGCTATTGAATGCACCTTGATGAAAGACTGTACTTTGCTCAGAGTATACTTTTTACCCATACAGTACATATTTTTCTTTGAATGACAAAAAGGCAACTATTTGAATGAAAGTCAACCATTTGAATGCAAGATATGCACACAATTACAACATCACTCAAGTTTATTAAAATCACGGTTTATTTTCAACCATAGGTAGTGTTTCCTTGAAATATATATCTTGAAAGATTTACTACAATCAGCACAATTATATTTTATGCTTTACTATAACAGTCAGCTGCTGAACAACAGCTGAATGACAGCTCATTTGACTTTTTCCACTTACAGAAAATACTACAGAGGTCTTATCTCCCTAGAAAACGTAACAGCTGCATCTTCCTTTCAACAATAAATGACTCATTTCTAACACATAACACCATAAAGGTCTAATGACTCAGACACAGAATCTATTTATGTGCATGCGTTATCGTCCCTTAAAAAAAAAAAAAAAAAGGGCACTGACAAAAAAAAAAAAAAAAAGAGAGAGGAAAGATAGCCAGATTACAATAAAGTACCTGGAATGATAAGTGAAAAACTTCATAAATGATGAGACATGAAAACTAGTATTTGATATTGCTTTTTGTCCAAAAGCTGTCAGTAACATAACACTGGCTCAGTGACACAACCAACACAAATACAGAGGGTTGTACATTTTGTACATCCATGCTGCTCAGAATTAAACAAATTATGGAAATTTGAATCAATTATATTGGGAAAGTACTTCACTGTGTAAAAATATGTGAATACTTTAAGTTGAGCATAAAACTGCTATTTACTGCATTATCAAAATGATAGAGGTTTTCTTTTCTGACATGCTTCTAGGTAAAACAACGTGGTGGGGCTGTTCCTGGCAGCTGGTCACAGGGCAGCGTGTAGCCATGTGGGGCACAAAATTGCAGCTAACTGATAGAAACTGATGGCTGAAACAAGAGGATAGACCCTGTGCTTTTACAGGAAGAGGCTCACTGCTCTGGTTCAACCAAAAAAAAAAATCATAAAACCATGACACATGCTAAGAACCTGGGATGTTGGTGTGCCAGCAGCAGCCACGCAATCACAAAGCAGAACTAAAACATGTACTGCACAGCATTTTAGCATAGTAGTGGTTGTGAGCCATAAAATGGTAGCTGAAATAAAATGTCAGCCATCATTCCTGTAGTAACTTTTATAGCTTCACGCGTTTTGAATGATCTTTCTCCAATGACATACCCTTAGTTCATATTCTATAACATTTGCCTGTTTGTTTTTGTTTGTTTTTTTTTTTAAACTTTGGCATGATCTTTTGCTGCCACTCCTGTATTGTTCAATAATCCACAGATCTCACTGAATCAGTAAAGAGTCTTTCATTGGATGGGAAACAAGATGTAACCATCTAAATTAGGTCATTACTTCCCAGAGCCCCTGAAGTGTGAATCCATCCTTTAGCTTCTCTACTGCAAGTCCTAGTTCTTCTGAAAACACAGGCTCCCGATCATGTTGCTTTTGAATGTGCAAGACATTAAACAGAAAAATGAAAGAGTATACTTTTAATTATCCAGTTTGTAACAACACAAATCTAACAGTATGGGAAAAAAAGATGTTCTTACCTTGTTTTCATCAGCAAAGTAAGCCTATAAAAAAAAAAAAAAAAAGAAACAACTCACAACCTTGAGAAAAACAACAAAATTTAAATACAAGTTTGCTAGTAATTCTTTGGGTGAAAATCGGTAAGTTTTCTTGAAGAAAACAGATTATATGGTTTTTATTTTTGTTTTATAAACAAGATCAAAGTAATTCCTATGTTCAGATCAATTACAAAAGAGTTACAACAGAATTTAGGGACTGTTTTCTTTAAATAACATCAATCTCTGAATTTTCCAACATAACAAATAAAGATTTTATAATCAAAGTTTTCACATTGCATTTGTTATGCTAACAAATACTTTGTAGGGGATAAAATTTTAGTCAGCAAGCAAGCTAACAGCAATTTAATATTTTCTGCTTCATATGCATCAGTATTATTCAATTTTTTAAAAAAAATGAGACATAAAATGTGTAAAATAGTATTAAAATGCAATGAACATCACCTCAGTATAAGAAATGAACGCAGAGTAACTGCACAGTTCATCAGTTTTCTACTCTTTCACGTAGGCCTATGAAAATTATACTGTCTTTCCAATTCTGTGTGGAAAAATTAAGATTCTAACTCTGAAAATACCTGCAGCTCTGTAAGTCGTTGGACCAGCACACCACAGATTTTTGCATTTGTGAAGAAGAACCTGAGCTTTAATTCAGGTGACAAAGCCATCAAAAAAAACAAGCAAAATCTTCCTTCAAGGAAAAGGTGTTCAACCACACTGAAGACACGGTTATGTTTAGCATGTGAACACCTTCTACCTGTGAAATCAAATGAATCAGGTCTTTCTGGGTTGCAAGTAAATTTGGAAATTCCCAGAAGGAAGATCATTAAGTTCCTGGACAGCCTAATACATTTAAATTTATTTTTATTGTATTCATTTCTGAAATAAAGGGAGAGGGGTACTAATATCATTTTCTAAGCTGGTAGAAACAGGTGTGCAATGCTTGCCAGGACTGGCTCAAAATTATTGTTGCTTTTCTAAAAATCTTCTGAATTTGAATCTCAGGTGAATGTACAAATGTCAACTCTTATTAATCTGTTCCAAAAGGAGAAAGACTTTTTTTATGTGATGTATTTGATTGTACTGTGTGGCTAATCATCATCTTAATATGTGGAGAAACTACATACAAGTAGTACTACTATCTACTCCTGTTTGTTTCAAATAATAGTTTGTGCTAAGATTAAAAAAAAAAAAAACCATGCCCCAAATAAATGCACATAGCAATCAAGATTCTGATTAAAAAGCATGTAAGTGTGCTTAAGTACAGAAAGTTTAGTTGCAGCTAATTAAAACTGCATGCCACTTACATTTGAATATAAGCTTCTTTCCCACCCCTCCCCCCCCTCTGCGAAGAAGCTTACCACAAAAGCATCTGTCTGTTCACCAGGTTCTATTTCCACATCATCCTGAACCTGCTCCACTGTTAGGTCTTCAAGAGATTGAGGCTAAAAGTTAAAACACTGAATAAATTCATACATGCAGTATACATTTAATGTATTCTTGTTACTGCTTGCTAACACAATATTGCATCTAATTTACAACAGATGAGTAGACTACCTTTTCTTCCATTTCATAATCCACTCCAAATATAGGGTTAGCTGAATAAACTTTGTGAAGTGAATTAATTTCTTTCACTGCCTCCTGTAGTTTCTCCACAGGGTCTATTTTAAAGCCAAGTACATATCCTCCACTCTGCGTAACAGAGAAAAAAAGACATTTATTATTCTTTTTATTTAAACAACTGCCTATCATTCCTCTCCCAATGAGGATTTGTAGTTTAATGACAGTAAATTTAATTCTGATGATAAAAACATTACCTGTATTTTAGTATCTCAGCCTGCCACTTAAACCAGGAGTAAAACAAAAAACAATGATAATGTTTCTTTATGAGATAACTAAGCTTTAAACTGTTAGCCCGTTAGATAATGGAAAACAAATATCTTACATAGAGAAACAAGATCTAAGAAAGGTGGGAGAAGTTACAAAGTGATACAGTGATTTATTCCTAGCTACTCAGCAAGTGTTTAATCCTTGAGATCATTACTAAATAAGATGTTAAATTAACTTTATATACAAGCTTATCTGTCTATTAAATCACCATTAAAAACATTTCTGACTGAAGTCAAATTGAAGAAAAGTGATTTTGTTTCTTAGGGCAAAGCATACGTAGTTGAGAAAGATTAAAAATAGTGGTCTTGCTTAATTACAGAATTAGGTTTCAAAGACAATCTGTCAGAAGACACAGTCTCTAACAGCTAAATACTTTGAAGTGTTCAGGCTGGTTTATTGTTGCTCTGCTTAGAGACACTGTAACTCACAACAGCCATATTTACCCGAACATACTGACATTTTCAGAGGTGTGAATAATTGAATTTTTCAATTTTTTTAAAGCTGTCTTTTAATGGTCACACAGAAGGAAATTATAAATGGCTTAAAAGTAGTACTGTAACATTTTATATACACAGCTATCTAATTCTGAAAACTGCTATTTAAGGGCTATTAAAGCTTCTTACCTGCTGAGAACTCTCTATCACAAGAGCCAAGCCAAACTTTGAGTCTCTTACTTTTATTGAACGCTAGTGGTAAAGAGGTTAAAAACAAAGAAACAAACAAAAAAACCAAACAAACAACATTATAAACTGTTTTGGAAATATCTGACAACATTTAAATATATATATATATATATATTTATTATTATTATTATTTTTTTTTTTTAAAACACTGTTGTAATTACTGTTATACCTCTTGGAACCTTGGCTACTAGTATTCTCTCTATTTCAATTCTGAAACAGTAAAGCCTCAGGAAAAGTGTTTTATCAAAAATATTAATAGTTCATTCCCGAACATTAGATTTGCAGCTCAGGCATGCAGCTGACACGGAGCACAAGAGTAAATAGTTTGGAAATTAAAAATAACAAGTCATTCCTCAACATCTCTAATTGCTAATGGAAGCTTCCAATTCATCTGGACAGAAAAGAAATCCACTTTGTAGTTAATGCTGGCAAGACCAGATTTCTCCTTGACGTGGGGACATGAAATACTAAGTCAGTGTGAGATGGGAGCGTTAACTGAATACCAGAAGTTATCCCATTTCATTTTGAAAATGGCTGCTTTAAAATACTTACAATTTGTAGATACGGTATGCTGACATTAAAGCTGTCATTCATATTTGCATGCCAAACTATTCTCACATTAGTAATAAAAAATGTTCCCAGATTTCCCTATTAAAGAAAAGGTATATGTTAGAGCTGCTTTGAAATACTGAGCCTTTCTCCCCCTTGACATTATGATTACTGATACCTGTTGATCACTAGTAGGGTATAGCTTTTCAATTAATTCAATAAAGGCGTGATCCTTTCCCACAGAAACCAGTGGAAATGCTATTAATGTCTGTTAGGAAGCAAGATCCAATCTTTAAAGGACACAACACCCAAGTTGAAAATCACTTGGGAGTTCCTATGGCTGCAGCAAAGCAGTATCAAATCACAGCACAGCAGACCTGGTGAGAGTGCATAGAGTGTCTGAGAGTGTGCTTAACTGTACAGATCTGGAATTGGCATACAGAGTAAGTATAATGGCATGTGGGTTAAACTTAGGCAATTGTGTAGATGTGTGCCAAGGAAATGAAGGGGAAAGAACTTTTTAACTTGTCAGGATAAATCCTGTTTCCATTCTGGACTAAAGTTACACAGACAAAAATAACAGCTCCCATTTTGTTTTGCAGCTCTGGATAATACTTGTAAGTAGTTCCATGTGTAATAATGGAAATAGTTTCAGTTTTCTCCTTAAAGTCTTTATCAATGCACATTTCAAGACCTAGATCCCCATTCCTATATTTTCAATTTCCAGTAATCTAAAGACAACATAGTCTTACAAAGTAGTTAAGACTGCACGTAAACATACAAACACGCAGCAGAGCACTTTGGAAAGAGCAAGATTGTCTTTCAGGATGATACAGAGCTTCACACTCATAAATATCTTTTATTAACAGAAGCTGCGTATCTAGTTCCTTGCACATTAGCTGAGTCATGTAGACTTTGGTCTGCCAAGAAGAGAACTTCATTATGATGAATGGTAAATATATGAAGTCAGCTTTTCTGCATGCAATAGCTAATGAGCTGAACTAAGGGGATTGCCTGAGGTTACAAAACCATAGTAGTACAGTTGCTACATGAAAGCCAAAACATTTTAACTTCGCTGCAGTCAAACACAGTCTCACTTTTAACTTTACCTGGTCACTTGATAAATTCCACACTCCGTTGATTTTATCATATATTTGTTCTTGAGGCAATAACCTCAGTTGCTTATTCTGAATCAATGCACTTCTCAGCTTCAGATCGCGATACATTTTAGAAGTTTCATAAGCTCTGAAAAAGTAAAAAACATCATGTTAAAATTTCAGTATTTATTCTCTATTACCTTTCAGTGCTTGTTTTAGCAACAATGTGAAATGTGACATTTTCAACTTTTCTTGTTGTACAGAAACAAGAGTGCTATTAAATCATCAGCATAAATGGTTGTGTTTCAATTCTCCTTAATCAAATTAAACTTAGAAGAGGTTTTTTTTGTTACTGTTTTGGTTTCTTCTGTCATCCATTTGAACTCTTATATTGTTCATATTAAGATGTTTCTTTTCCTTAAGATTTTCATATCCCAGCCTGTACTGCAAAGCATAAATTGCTCTCATGTTATACATAGTATAGATACCAAAAATGGCATTGCTAGTTAAGTCAAAAACATCTAATTATATGTACTTACAACACCAACATCTAATAACATGTACTATTATCTGTACTTCAGAGCTCTTCAATAGAAAGCAACACTAGTGTACTATGCAGACAGTCATTCAGGCGGTTTACCTTTAGGTAGGAAAGAAACATCCATCTCAAGTCAGAGTTTTAGTCAGAGTTAAATTACCTTTGAACTCCTATTTCCACTACATGGTCAACAATCACAGACGTGGGTTATAGACATAAATGACCAATCAAAAATGCATGATTAGTTTTTTTAGGTTTTTTTTTTTTGTAATTTAATTTATTCAGTTGGTATTCAAAGGGTGAATGCTTTAATCCATGACCACTATTGGCATACATTAATTCTCTTTATGTACAGTTATCTAGTAGAATCTGTGAGCATTCTCTCTCCTCTTTCTAAAGATTGTGTTGTCCTCTTTTGGAAAGGTTTTGCCAGTGTTAAATATGGATAATCCACCAATAGTAGTAATCCCATGTAATTAATCCACTGAATTTCATAAATGAACAAACACTATTTTAAGTATGATACCTGTGCACAGCAATAACTGAAGTGAAGAGTCTGGGACTCCCAGGAACAACATTGGTAAATATGAACTCAAATCGTGTATTATTACATTTAGTCAATATATACAGAGCTTCTGTCTGTCCCCGTAATTTCTGTAAGGAAAATTTGAAATTTAATATTTTGACAGCATTGCAGCTCACACATTCAGTGGTTTAATCCTGATTCTACCACTTATCTACTGTTGTCTAGCGATTTACTGTTGTCTTTCATTTCTTTCTTTTGCCACCTCCACTGGGAGCTAGCATTTCCACCAGCAGAACTAATGAAGCCTGGCTGCCGTACATTTGTAGTATTTGCTTCTTATCATCCAGAGTCACCATCCTTCTTTTTGCTCCCAAAATGCCCTGGCTCTGCATGCAGTCCGTTGCCGACCTCAGTAGCTGCGCCAGAGGAATGGGAGAGTTGTGTCAGCCAAGGGTGATGAGTGTGCTGAGCAGCCAAGCCATACACAGACCAGTTGGTGAGCTGGCATCTACCATGTGGCTACCTGAGGAACCTACAAAATCTCCCTGCTACTTCTTTGCTGCTTGCCAAACAAATGACTTCACAGTTGCATGCAATCAGGCTACACATTTGAGAGCTTTCTTGCACAAAGTTACTGTTTCAACATCTTTGTTAGTAGTAGACACAACAAACCAACAGGCATTTCACTTATCAAGAACAGAGAAAAATCACCAGACAGTGTGATGAGTTTTACTACTTTGGGAACCAAGTATATAAATATGTAAAACTCTCCCAAACTAAATTCCTGTATTGTTTTTTTGCAAGTAAACACACTGCAATAAATAAAAATAACTAATAACACCTTTTTTAAAATATTTTAAAAAGTATTTTTTGGAACTTACTGAGTTGGCAGTTCTTGTAGTTATATTTATAATGCAGTTGTAACCAACAGCTAAATGGAAAGAAAAAAAAACAGTTTTGAGAAAAACCGTAGTCAAAATTATGAAGCACAGTACTGAATTTTGTAGCTTTGGGTGCTGTTCTCAAGAATTCCATACTGTGGTTAACCATCTGGGCTCTCATCATAAAGTCAAAGACCTCAGGAGGTCATCTGCTCCAATGCTCTTCTCAAAGCAGAACTAATTCCATCTGGATGCTCAAGGTAGTGTTCAGCTCAGTTTTGAGTATCTCCAAAGAAGTAAAGAGGTATTTCCAAATCTGAGTATTTCCAGTCACTCTGGAAGCTTGTACCACTGTCAGTCTGCCACTCTGGTGAACATTTTTCTCCTAATATCTAATCAGTTTCTCTTGTTTCAACTGTTTATTGCTGCCTCTCATCCTGCCAGTCATACACTACAAGGCAGCCCATTTCATCATTAAGTCACACTTAAATTTTACCCTTAGAAATAAACATTTAAATAAACAGCAATGTAATACTTTGTGGGGAAAAAAAAAAAATAAGGAGGTGACAAAGAAAAAACAGCAGCAAACTAGAAAGTGTAAGAGAATAAATAAGAAGAGAGAAAACAAGGTATAAATTTCATTTTGCATCTTCTACAGCAGTGTTCTGATACAAAATAGGAATAAAGAACTCATCCTTGACATTCAACATAAAATTGAAGCCATAAAGTGGTGCTGGCCTAAATCTATAGATACCAATTATTACAATTTACCACAAATTCGCCCAGCCAGATTCTGAAAAAAAGAGAGAAAGAAACAGGATTTGCTTCTGCAAGATTTTGCATCTCTAAAAGCTCAGTTCTGGCAGCATGTTTGTGTGCACTTGTGCATATGCACATCTATGAGAGAGCACATACAGAAGAACAAGCAATCAGAGCCATAATTCGCACTGCTTAGGAGCAGAACAGATTTCATTACTGACTGGCTTTCAGAACCGAGCCCTGGAAATGATCTGGGTACTGAGTAAGAGCATCTTGGCCCTACTTCAGCAAACTAAATTCCAGTAAACTAGCTGGCTACTCACACAGTTAAAATTAGAAGCTTATTCACAGCTCACAATAGTAGATTTGGAAAGGAAGGTACTTCTGGGGAATAAAAACTGTATGTGAATTAAACAGGCGGCAATGTGAGGTTTAAGGGTTTAAGTGATGCAAATGATGAAGAAATTCAAACTTACGTTTCTTTCTAGGAAAAAAAAAAGTTGCAGACAGGTTAAACAAACGATACGTCTAAAATACTCTTCAATTTCTGTCCTTATAAACTGCCATTAAATATTAACATTTCACTATGAATTAAAATAACAGTTTCCATACTACAGATTCATCGTAACAGTTTATTTCAGACTGTATAGAAAGAGCAGGCCAAGCTTTTACTACTCTGTAGTGCAATCTATGGTATTGTGAACACGTAGCATGCCACTACAAAGGAAACAGCATATTTTCAATCGTTTAATAGAAGATAATACTTACAGAGATTAACTCTGGGCAGTGACAATGAGCGCCAAATAATCCTCAAATTTGTCACAAGCAGCCTACCTGGAAATAAAGGGTGTAAATAGTTTTAATCTGAATAGCTACCATTAAAGTAAACATTCAATTCTGTGGTAAATATTTACCTATAGTTTTGCAAAACCATAATATTCCTTCCTCATGACAGGAAGAAGAAAAAGAGGATATCCCTGCAGGACAATCTCTATTTGTCTTCCTTCCACTGCCCTAATTTTTTTTTAATACCAGGAGAAGAAATCCAGCAAGAAGGAGCAAATGAAAGAACCTCTACGTATACCAGCATTCCTCACAACCAAACACCAAACAGTAATTGATTCCATATCCCCCTGACTGGTAAAAAAAGCAGAGACACAATTAGCACACAGCTGCTCTGGGAGGGGAGACCGTGCGTTAAGAGCCCAGCTGACTTCATAAATAACCTTGCTTCTTTATGTCACATGCAAACTTCTTCAATTCAGCAGCACATCCAGCCACTGGAAGGGTTGCTGAGCATGCTGGCAGCCCTGCACACTTACACCCCCCGTAACCGAACAAGATACTATTTGAAAATACTCCCAGCAGAAACAGACCTGTGAAACAGGAGGGTTCATTTTCTGAAACAGATGTAGATTAACTATCAGGAAGGTTACAGTTTCTCTGAGCAAGTAGGTACCTCTGTCTCCATTGTTTCCTTTGGTATCTTCAATGGACTCCAGGCAGTCTATAAGGACTTCTCCAGATCTCATTTTCATTTGCCTAAAAAAGGAAAATAAAAATTAAAAAAAAAAACATGCACAAAAAACAAAAACACACAAAAAAAACCAAAAAAAAAAACCAAAAAAACCACAACCTAATGAAAGACTGCATTTATCCTCCCAGGGAGGGCCATTTATATTTCCTCACTCACCTCCCTTACAGCAAATGCACATCTGCACACACACACAAATCAACCACATATACCTGAAGTCGTCATTGCCATACAGAACACGTGGAAAATACCAATGTCTTTATTCTTAAATTGTAACAGTAAATAACTGTGTAGGAAACATGATAAGCAAACTGCATCCAAACACTGGGAGGAGGCACGTGAGAGCAAGGCAGAAAAGCTAAGAACTCTCGTGGATCTCAATGTCTCGTTCCGTACCTTTGGCCCCACCACACAGACGTTACAAAAACAAAAGCACTCCCGGGACGTGAATTCCCTTTTTATTTTGACTTCCCGACTCCAGAAAACAAACAACCCCCCCCATAGCTGCATTTGGGTGTCTGCGTTTTAAACAGACAATAGTGCCACCTAGTGGCGCCTCAGCGGCACGGCACAGTCCACCCCTCCGCCTCTTTCCGCCCCTCCGCGTCACGTGACGGAGCAGCCATCACAGCCAGGGCGTCCCGGCACGCACCGCGCCGCTGAGAGCGGCCTCAACCCAGTTCACCGACAGGCAGCGATAACTGCGACCGTCCGGTCGAGTCCCCACAGCCCCGCTGTAAGGGCGGGGCAGGCAAGCAGGCACTCACTGCGGGGAGATGTCGAAGCGGACATCTCTGTCCTCCCACAGCACGTCAAGCACGGCGCTCATGGCTGTCCGCTGCTTAGCTTCCCACCGGCAAGAGCTCGCGCCACCCTGGCAACGGGGGTGCTACCGCGCGCTCCCTCAGCGCTCGGGATTGGCTGCCGCCCTGGGGGGGGGCGGTGCCCGTTTTCCCGCCCCGCCCCGAGCCCCGTGAGACGGCGGCCGGAAGTGCGCAGGAGCTTTTTGGCGGGAACGGCGCGCGTGGGCGTTGTGCGAAGGACGGCCGGGCGCCTCGGGTCGCTGGGTGTGGCTTTTCCTCGTGCCTTAGATGTGTCTGGTACAAGGTAACGGTCACACCGTGAATGAACCTTACATCAAGCAAAAAGGACCCTGTGAAGCTGGTAGATGTAAAATGTACTTCTAATTTAGAATATCTCAAAAAAGCGTACCCAGATGAATGTACTTCAGTTGTATGAGGGCACTTCTTACCATTCACTCCTCTCCCTCACAAATAAATAAACTGCTTCCAAAACCATGTTGTGCATCAGGGCTGGCCTGCCAAATGGCAACTCTGTGGAGAAGGACCTGGGGTTGGTGCTGTGCTATGGCCTTGTGTTCCTGTGTGTGAAGGAGACCCGAAGCTCCTGGAGCACAGCCAGCAGAGGGCTAAAAATGATAAAGGCACCTGAGCACCACATTTGTGGGGAAAGTGGGAGAGCCAGGCCTGTTCAGCCTGCAGAAGAGAAGGCCCAGGGGGGAACATGATCAGTGTTTTTGTGTATGTCAGAAGGGACAGCATTAAGAGAATGGGGCAATGGTGCCATATGAGAGGCAGTGGGCACAAATTGTGTAAATGATGTTTGATTGTGGGGTGAACACAAGAAAAAACTAATTTATTGCGAGTGCTGACTCAGGTTGCTCAGAGAAGTTGTACAGTCAAAAGCGATCCAGACTCGGTCCTGGGCAATGTGGGTTAGGGGATCCTAAATGTGCTTTAGGGGTTGGAGATATAGCCATTTCTTGGATGTGCCTTAAAATTTTTATGGAAGTTGTTGAGCAACTAGATGTCATTCTGCCTAATCCAAATTTCCAATTTGTTTATTCAGGAAAAGAAAAAAAAGTAAACATTCTGGCTTCATATGCAGGAGTGCCTAATCCATGGCAGTTCCGTAACAGGACTGTGGTAGAAATCCAGATGTATTATCAGGAACACATCTAGCTGTAACTCAGTAGTGAGATCAGTTTTCAGTTCTGTAAAGGTACTGCTTATCCACTCTCTATTCTAGCAGTAAAACCAGAAACAGTTTATTAGAAACAAGCTTTTAAGTATACAATTCAAATAAAAAGAGACAGATCAAGTAAAAAGCCATAGGGCAGTGACAGGCAACAAAGAATAAACTCTGCTTAGTCTGATGTTTCGAAGATAAGTTAAAGGGTTTTTAAGGAACAGTAAAATAATAAAATGCATTTAAAAGTCAGGGCTTTTAGAATAGAAACATATGACAAGAACCATTTTAGGCATGAATTAGCCTAACTTGTTGATGTCAGCTACTGGTGTAGTCACTTATATGCATTTGTGGAAGTGTTTCATTTCATTTGTCATGTACCTTGATAGTTACTGGAAACTGAAGAGAGCTGCTAGATTAAAGGTCTGCATCTGAGAAGGATGTCATTGAGAGAGGTATGTAGCTCAGCTACCTCCCTGTCTTGTGACCTGGATAGCATGTAGGGAACAAGCTGTTGCGTTTGCTGTGTTTATCTGGTAACCCTGAGTAGCAGTTGCATGCAATTCGGAAGTTGATATTCTGTGCTTGAAATATTAAAGTAGGATTTGTGGGAACACTTTTCCTTAAAGAAAATGAAGACTTCATCACAGAATCTATGACAACTGTCAGGTTTCTGTAACAGAGAGGAAAGAAATTATGTGAATTTTTATGACCAAAGATTGCTTTCCAAAGCCATATGTATAATTTAAAATGAAGTCAGTGATTGTATAACAGTATTACTTAGAAGAAATTATGATTGCTACAAGAGCTATGCTGGTCTTTATGGAAGGAAGTTATGAATTCCTGATACTGCTAGAAATGTGTTGCTTTGTTACATAGGGACTAAATCATAAAATATGCACAAAAGAAATTAAAGCATGCTTTCACAGGTAGATGTTTTTAAAATTAGTGAATGTATGACTTCACAATGTTAACGTTCTTTAAGTTAGTGGGTTCAGTTTTACATACCATACTTGATACTTCATGACTAACCTGAACAAGCAAGATCTTCATCTTGCTAGTTATTAATGTAGAGATAGATGCGAATTCTTACCTCCAGAAGAAAATACACAAGTCTCTCTACATTCCTCTTCATTCTCAAAACGATTTGCATTTCCATCACAGCCACCATACCAAAACTGAGCACATGCATTGGCTTGTTGATCATAATACCATTTTATGATATAAACACGGCACGGCCCTTGATCCAGCCTTAACTTGCATCGGAGGTCCAGAACACTTCCTTAAAAAAAAAAAAAAAGAAAAAAGAAAAAGGAGTGGACACAATTATGTGCAAAAATCAATCATGACATGCTAGTTTCACTCACTCTAATGATATGGTAAGATAGAAAATACTTTCTCTTAAAGTTTAACATTGTGACATCAATATTCTACATGTATCATTAGCAACTAGTATCTGGAAACTTAACATAATAGAGTATTAGGCAGCTATCTTAGTCATGTCCATGTTCCCAGGAGGCATGCTCTTTTTATGTTGTTGTTCCATCACAGTATGTTGCTACTGGAATCCACAAGTGTGAAATTATGAAAAGAACACATTCAGATTTTTCATATGAAAAGAATGAATCGTTTCAACAGTCAGCTTATTACTATACTTTCCTTCAAATGACTAAACACTTTTTTCCTGTTTCTCTTCTAAAAGAGAAGTCTGTCCAATTCTGAAATCACTACGTATTCTTCTCTCCTTAATGAGGTCTCCCATCTCCTGATGGAAGACTGACCCTTTCTGGCCAAAGAATTCTCTGCTCACTGGCTCACCTCACCTGGCACTGCATTCTCTCTTTGGTGCCATTTATCAGCTCTGCCTCAAGTTATAGCTGACCTTGTTCTGCTCTGAGATGAGCAGTGGGATTTGGAGCTTGCAAAGAAAATAACTGGTTAATAGTCTGGTCAAGAAGTAGATTTATCAGGTAGATTTTATAAAATCCTGAAATGTTGTCTTTCCCACAGCGTGGGCTCATGAAATCTTCAGAAATGGATGGATTCAACAGATTGACTCTGATTTAAAGCATTATAAAAGTCAGTATTAAGGCAAGAGAGAAGAAAATGACACCCTGGGTGTTATCTATTACCTGGCCTTGGTGTGAGCCTTGCAGTTGAAAGCACTTTGTCTGAAAATGATGGTGGCAACGATGATGTCACAGCTGTGGGTAAAAACAACAGAATGAAGCAGTGATTATCAGCCAAAAAAAAATACTAGAAGTTGAAAAAAATAACGGTGACAAAAATACCTCTAGTGTCCACTGTTACCAACGGTGACTGTTCCTTTTCCTCTAGATTATCTTCATAGGCTTCATTAACTACCACAGTAGGCACATCAGTCTGAAATGAGCATTTGATTTTCAAATATTGTTAAGTCTCAAACTGAACAAGCCTACTAACATTGACAGGTTTCCTAACACTTTTCCTTCCCATCTACCTTGACTGCATTGCTAAGAATCAAGATTTTAACCTCACCAGATTAGTTTACCAGGAGGGTTATCAATCCCAAACCCGCTGTATTAAACCCAGTATCAGTAACAGTATCGGGACTAAACTGTGGCCATTAAAGAATTGCATGCACGCAATACGTGAACTTTTATTCAGAACACCAGCACTGAGCGTAGCAAATTAAAGGACCTATTGCAGTACCTGCCTGCAGAAATGAAGTTAGATGTTGCTTCAGGCAACAGGGAAGAAAATAGGCAAAACACAACCTTCATTCATAAAACATGCTGAATTTTCATACCAGAACCAATGGCTGAGGAAGATCACCAAGATCCAGAGGACTTTCTATTGTAGATACCCCTGGTGTCTGTGCTGACAGCGCTTGCCCATTAATGCTGTTGTTCTGAAGCATGCGATATGAGGGACTTGGAGATACTGAATGGAAAGATGGTCCACTTATGCTTGCAACATTTCTGTTACGATTGTAAATGAAAGTACCATGCTCATCTTCACAAAATTGGTTGACTAATTTGGACTCCAGAGCTGTTCAAAAGAAGTTAAAATTCATCATATTGAGAAATTCAATGGATTTTTCAAATTTGGATTATTTACACACATTAATAATACACACGTAATCCAGTACGCCTTTAGAATATTTACACATATCTAAGATCATTCCAGGCTCTCTGAACTGTTTTTTATCATCACAGATTTACCAGCCTATAGGTCCTCCAGATGATACACATTTCCACTCCAGCAGGTCTGCAGTGAGTGAGCACTCCCTCTGCTTAGGAAGCCAGTTTAAATGACTGCTTTCATAGCCTGTAGCTGACATCTTTGGTTGGCACAACGTGCTCTCTTTTGTGCCATGGCTTATACCACAACTCCTTAAAAGAAGGCAATTTTATCTCTAGGTTCTCAAAATTTTGCACCTTGTAGATAACCCTAATCATATCAAAACGTAATTTACACAAACATAATGCATTCTTTCCTCTATTCTGAGAATCATCAGATATAACAGAATAAAACCGCAGCAAACGCACCTGGGAGAGTATTAAAGTCATCGATAAGATACATATGCTCTCTGTCTGGATCCGAAGCGATCAGATTGAGTTCATGCACAAACTCAGCCTGCGCTGGATCGGAAGTATTTACGATTCCTATTGCGTACATTTCGATGTTTGCTGCATGAGCCTCTCGAACGACAACATCCAGTTTCACCGCTTCTCTCTTGTCCGCTTGGCCGTCGGTGAGCACAATGGCTACTTTGCGCACTCCTGCTCGAGCACCTAAAAACCCTTCCTGGGTTGCTTTACGGATAGCAGTTCCTGTGTAAGTGCCTTCTCCCATGTACTGCATTTTTCTAATTGCTCGTTTAACATCCTGTTGAGTTGTATGCTTGTTGAGACCGAATTCTAGCTG